ACCCAGGTTGTTTGTGTGTGTGTCTGTGTTCGTTTATATATGGGATTGGATTTCCTACATTTTTTAACCGATTTCAACAAAACTTCACTTTTTTTTTGGCAGGTAGTGTATCTTATTGTCTTGCACACTTTTTTCTTTATTTTTACATTCAGAATGCTTTAAAAATTCCATTTACAAGACAATTGTTTATAATAAAATTCTATTCAATCGGTAGACTGATAATGATTGAAAACAATGTTTTTGTTTGAGTTTGGGTTTGAGCAATTCGCAAAAATCAAAAACAAAAAACTAATTAAGACATGCGTGTCCGTCAACGTTAAACAATAATCTTAGTCAATTTTATTTTTCAGTCTTTATGATGGTCGATACTTGATCTATCTCTTTCTGTTATATCCCGGGGCAACGCCGGGCTATACTGCTAGTTCACAATAGAAATGTCACTTCCAGTATCCACAACTTCACTGTCTGACCATTTATTTTCGTATTTATGTATTTCCTTTTTTCACCATTTTCAATTTCGTTCTTGGATAAAACAACATTTACATTTGATTTAAATTATTGCTGCTTTCTTTTCTGTTTATACCAACAGTGGGAGCTTTTGTGGCCGACATAGCTGCACTCAAAGTAAACCGTATCCTCAAAAAACAGTCTTTTTTAAATGAAAGTGTTGGAATTTTGGGGTACCTTTTAGTACTAGTGAGCTAGCCAAAATGAGCTGACTCATTTTATAGTCCACGAATAGAAGGGTTAACCAATCAGAAAGCTCAAAATATTCAATCCAATGTGTATAAAGACAGCCATTTTGTTTTTTCTCCCAAATTATCCTCACTGCCAACCTGATATCAAAGACTTAAAGAATTACTTAACAGCTGCTACTTTCTCTGAATCTTCACTGCCAAACTCTGATATTGAACACATTACGGACTTCACTGGATTCCATATTCAGAGACTACAGCAAACATGGTCAACAGAAAGCAGCATCACACTGGGATTTCTTTTTGCCTTATATTTTGTAAATTTCGGTTGTTTTATCACTTGGACTCATGAAATGTTCTTTTCTTAATCTGCGTATTTTCTCTTTTTACATTTATCAGCTTTTGGCATTCCTCAGTCACCTTCTGTAGTGTAATTTGAGGGTCTTGCTCCATAATTGACAGAATCCTTGATCTGATGTCTTTGTCCTTCGCCATTGTAAGTCCCTAGATGAAGATTAAAAATTCAACCATGTCGACTGAAAGGTTACCTAATTTAAACAATTCAAATTGTGAATTTACGTTGCCTGCATATGTCACAAAGTTTTCATACTCTTGTTTTACAGTGTTTAAACGCTTGTATCAAGTATGGAACAAACTGTCTCTTTCATCGAATATTCCTGACAAAATCTTTATTGTCACCTTGAACGAGCTTTCCTCCCTAATTTTAGGTAAAATTAGATTTGTTTATTTAGTGTTCCCCTCTGTACCTAATTTTTAGACTAACAACATAATTTTCTCCTCGGACCATTGTTTGCACTTTTTTGAAAAAAATCATCTTTATGAAAATAGGCAGGGAATGTTTCTCCATTGTCCAGGTCATACTTGAATTCTGATAACGAATTTGATATTCCTTCAGGGGAAAAGAATCTGTAGTGCTATTCTCCTGTTTTTTTTTGTTTTTTTTTTAGATATTACGGTTTTGCACAATAGCTTAGTGTTTTCTGCTTGTTGTTTTCATAATTGCATCAGTTCATCTTGAAAATTTTTTGTGATTTTTTAAAATTTTTTCTTGTTGCTGTAACCTGTCACTGTAATTGTTGTTACTGCTGCTGCAATTGTTGTAACTGCAAACTAGCACGTAATTCTTTAGTCAATTCAACCAGTTGTTCTATTTTTGTTGTGTAATTTCACTTAGTATTTTCAACATATGTTGTTCAAATCCGCATTTACTACTGTTGTACATTTTACAGTGTTTTGTGGTCTTTCTCGCTGTGAGTTTGAATATAATCTGGTGTCGCCACTGTTGTATCCTTAAAGAGGTTACAAACTGACAAAGGTGGTGAAGGAACAGCGACACGTGCGTAGACGAAAGAAAAAGATGTTTATTGTAAAAGGGAATACACTACTGAAAGATAGGGAATCGGGTGGCAGGCTATTAATTCCTGAAGCAAGCCTCAGGTATATCCTGTGCTCACTATATATACCTACTGATATAGGTCAGTCCACATAGGTGATAGGGAGTGTGGGACATTCCATTACAACACACACACACACACACACACACACACATATATATATATATATATATATATATATATATATATATATATATATACACACACACACACACATACACAGTGTAACCCAGATATAAGAGAGATTTTCTCTGGTCCCAAATTAGAGCCTGTGTTAATGTATATAAAATAGACCAAACCCAGATATAAGAGACTTCTTCTCCGGTTCCGACAACTCTCTTATATCCAGGTTACACTATATATATATATATATATATATATATATATATATATATGTGTGTGTGTGTTTTTAAATCCTCCCTTAAAACTTCTCTGTTAAATTTTAATCCCACCTTCACTTTTAGGCCTTCCTGTTCTTCTCTCATCTGTTACCCCCCTCTCTAGAGCTTTCTTTTACCTCTCACATTCATCCCCCACTCTCATACATACACTCTCACTAAATTCTATTTTTTCATTCCTGGAGTTATTTTTTCTAATTTCTTTTTGAATTTTTAGGTCTGATGAATTGGATCATAAGTACGATTCCAATGGAATAAATTATGGCCATGGAATATTAGTGTTTAAGCCTTTTTATTATATTCTTACGCTGTCCTGGACATTGAGTTCTACCTGGATTCTGTTGTCTTGGAAATTTTTATATATATATATGTATGTATGTATTTTATATATATATATATATATATATATATATATATATATATATATATGTGTGTGTCTGTGTATATTAACCACTAATATTATCTCTCTCTCTCTCTTTCTATATATATATATATATATATATATATAGTTTTTAAGATATGTTGTATTTATGGGATAAAGTGCTCAGTATCAGAGATAGTGTATGTAAATGTTTCACGTTCACTTTTATATTTATCAATATTAAATATAGCAATTTTCTAAGCGCTGCTTAGATGTGGCACAAGGCCGAAAGTATGGAGCACCCAGGATCGAACTCACTACTCAGTCGTAATTGTTCTAGCGAAACAAGCTTGCTAACCATTACACCATGCCGCGGTGCCCCATCAATATTATATATATATATGTGTGTGTGTGTGTGTTTCGAATAATAAAAAATATTGAAAAATTAAAATTTTCAGACACACTGGGTTGTATATTAATATTTTTTCTTTTATTATTTCAATTAGGTTCCTCAACTAGTTTTGGCCAGCATGGCCATCATCAGGAAGAAAAAAATTCTGCTTGTTAGTAACGGTGAACTACAGGAATGAATGACTTTTTGTAGAAAATGAACTTTATCTGCAGTTTTCATTTGTTTTTTTATCGTTAATTTTGGTCAGTCGTTGTTGTTGTGTTGGTCAAACGGCCTGAATTCCATTCTTGGTCATTTTGACAGTTTTATTGGCTCCTGATTGGTGAACTGGCAGTTTTACTGCTTAAGCCATCTTTATAACAGATTTAAAGATAATGTTAATGTTTTAAACACACACACACACAACCTCTGCGGTTGAAACTGGTTCTAAATTTGGTTGGCTTTAAGCAACATAAAGATAAAAAAGGAAAGTAAATGTCAAGTACAACTTGAAATTCTGAAAACAGTTTATTTATAAATTGAAGGTCTCATTAGAAAGGCATCTTTTGCTAGCATAGAGGGTTAATTAAAAGGGGAGATGTCTATAAATTGACATTAATCGAGTGGTGTGTGTGTGTGTGTGTGTTTATATTTGTGTTTATCTTGTTGCACATCTGTATGAGATCTCTTTGAAAGACATCCAGCCATTTTTTTTTTTTTTCTTAAGTGTAGCCTTGATATAATTTTGCAACTCATCGATAGGGACCTTACTGCACATGTATCAACACTCTCCCATGGGGTTACTCAGTTGGTCCGTCATCCGGAAGAGGCATGGCATGTGGAACTAAAATAATCTACCCCCTGGGGGAACAAAATAAAGGGTTCAGTTTGAAATTCCAATCACCTGAAGAAGACTGGGGCGTACAACGGGCGAAATGTGGATGTGGCAATAAAGATGACAACAGTCTAAATGAATGATGTAAATAATGTAAATATCCACATAAGCTGTGCTTCTTACTCTGTCACTCTCTACTTTGATTGGCTCACGGGCCTTGTACAGAATGAAAAGAAAATTAGAAGTTCCAAACATAAAAAAATATTTTCATAATCAACAATGCATCATTCTTCAAATGGAAAAGTGACTGAATTAAGATTTGAAAGTGGGGGGGGAAATGATTTGTCCACAGGATTTTCTGACAAAGTAGGAAGCAAACTTTTTTGAAAAATTTTCTCTGCAAATAAAAAGTAAAACATGGATTCCACCTTTCACCATCAACTGGAATCCAGTTTGTCATTTCTTAGGATTACCTGTTTGCCAAAATCTTTTTATGATCTGTTTGTAATTTTTTTTTTTTTTCCTTTTTCCATTTTTTTTTTTATCTTTTTCTTCTTTATTTCTTTTTTTCTTTTGTTTTCTTCCTTTTTTTCTTTTGTTTTCTTCCTTTTTTTCTATTTTCCTTTTTTTTTCATTATCATTTATCTATCCTTTCCTCATCTGTTAGTAATTTTTTCTTTTTTTTCTTTCTTTTTCTTTTTCATTTTTATTTCTTTTTTCTATTTATTAATTTTCTCTCTTTTCTCCTTTTTCTCTTTTCTCCTCTACTTTTTCTTTCTTTTCTTCCTCTCCCTTTTCCTCTACTTTCCCTCCCTTTTCCTCTACTTTCCCTCCCTTTTCCTCTACTTTCCCTCCCTTTTCCTCTCTCTTTCTTTTCTTTTCATTTTTTCTTTTTCTCTCTGCAGATCTAAGGAATGGTTGGAAGATTCTTAGTCCAATGAAGTCATTTGTTGTTTATGCTGCCACATCAAGTGAAAAATCAGAATGGATGGCACATATTCGCAAATGTGTCTCAGATTTGCTCAAGAAAAGTAAGTGCTTCAGACCTTCATTTCTCTTTCTTATCTCTCTCGACTTTCCTCTCTGCCTCCCGATAAATGCATTTCATTTATTTTGCTTGTTACCTTTTCTGTTTTGTTGTTTGTCCGTTTTGCTCCTTCCCCTGCTCCCCTCTATGAGTCCTACTGGTACCATGTAACTCATCTCTACCTGCCGCATAGTCAGGTCATCAGTGATTCAACTGTTTCCTCTTCCCTATATTCATTAACAAGGCCTCTGATCAGGAGGTTTTGAGGAGCATGGAACCACCTCTTAATTGCTGGTGTTCCCAGGTCTGCCCTGACCCGGGGTGGTAGTACCTGTTAGGGTCCCAGCTATGGGCAAATAATTAACCTCCAAACAAAAGCAAAACACTATGAAAGTATAAAATTACATTTTTTTATAGTAAAAATACCAGCAATATAGAAAAAAAAATTACCAAACAATACCAATTTATGGTAAAATGACTGCCGAAGCCTATTTGTAGTAAAATGACCAGCAACACATTTTTGATTGTAGTGGAAGGCATACAATTGTGTTCAAAATGTATTTAGTTGAAGCCATAAAATTGTGTTCAAAATATTTAGATTTCAGCATTAAATAAAACCAATAAGGGTGTCGGTATGCCACTGAACAAAATCAACCAACGAACACTTCCCAGGCTTTTCTGGTGAGGGTGGCTAGACACTTGGTCAGAATTAAAAACAAAACCTGTAAAAGGGGGTGAACAAACATTTTTGTTGGGTCAAGAGCCATCAAGCACAGTGGTGGTGGCGGGGAGGGTGGCTTGGTAGACTAGGCTCTATAGTATGTATACAATCAATGCAGTGATGACAAGGTCTTTCTCAACTGAAGTCAAGAGCCAAGAACCACCACCCCACCCCAAATGAAATCAACAGCCACCTGTCTGTACACAAGGCAAGCTTTTAAATTGGAGCTCACTGGAGAGAGATTGTCAAAGACGTGTCACATATGAATGAAGACCTCCACTGACTTTCAATGTGGATGGGACTGGTCACGTTTGCAGCTGTGACGTGACCCTCACATCTAAACCTGATCATGGGACTGATGAAATGTTGGGTATAGTTGTGAAATGCAAGTTCCTTTTTAACCAGTAATCTTTGATGACCGACCCCCCCACCACCCCCACCATAAAGCCCCCAAATCAAACCATGGAGGAACAACCTACACAGCTGTCTCCATGTGTTAATATCCAATTAAAAATTTTTCTTTATGAATGTTTAAAAATTTACCTAATGAAAACGTCATGTAGCATTTTTGGAGTCAAAATTTAAAAATCTATTCAAATGTGACAAAATTTAATTTTGCCATTACATATAATAATAATTAAGTGCAGTGACATAAACCAAATGGAAGGTAAGTCCTATTCCCATTGCTAATGGTGGGTGGGTTTTGCTCACCTTGGAAAGTTGTGATAAGATACAATGCAGGGGTGAAGTCATGCCAGAAATTGATAATGAAATAGGCCAGAGTTCAAATATTATCGTTCTTCATCTTTGCTTTCTGTAAATATTTCATGTGAAGATAATATTCAGAACATTATATTTAAATCTGTGTATTATCTAAAATGTTTTCTTTACCTCCCCCATACACATGCGCACACAACACTGTTGCACATGAAACCGCAAGTCGTGTTATATATATATATATATATATATATATATATATATATAGTGGTGACAAAATTACTTTATTTAGTTAAGTACATTTTTTGAAAGATTTTTCTTCTAGAAAGCTTCTATACTTTTGGCTTAAAATTTTTATATAAGGAGCATATTTGCTATACATACATACACACACACACACACCCCCGGAGGCAGGTCAGCTAGTTACACCTTTATATTTTAAGAAGTTAAGATTGTTTAGCAATATTTTTTAGATCTTGAGGATTTGAAAAAAATAATATACAGAAAATATTTAAACATATATTAAATCCTTATAATCTTTAAAATGTTTTCTTTACTCCATTGTTTTTAAGTAAAAGGACAAATTGGAAATGTTTATCAATCTAACATGTTTCAAATATGTTCTTTATCTTCTCACTCTGTTAGATTATGATCGATATTTGAAATATGTTATATGTTTATATTTTCAATTTTGCGCATGCATGTTTGTTTTAATCTTGTTGAGTACACAGTATAGTAAGGTCAGTTGGGTGCAGTCTGTGAGAAAAAGAGTTCCATGATGTAGTTCGCTCAAAAAATTTGGAAATGGCATGCTCTACTGCTTGGCATTTGTGCCAGAAGCTCCAATACAAACAGTGTTTGGGTGTCAATTTGAGGACAGTGAATAGGATTCGGAAAGGGTTGGATGAATCTAATGATGATTACAAAAGTATGGCAGCTTGGAAAATTCACACTGATCTTTCTAAGAAAAGAATTCCCGAATGTGTATTTTAAAATGTGTGCATTTAGGTAGCATTTTTTCATTGATACATGTTTCATTAAATAGACAAGTGTTGTCTATTTTTTTTATGTAAATTCTTTTCATATCGTCTGATAAGCTTATTAACATTATTTATTAAACGAAGAAAGAAAATCACAATATTGATACATATTTTTTAATCCTATCTAAGCTTTTGGCTTACATAAGCCATTATCAAAGATGACAATTACATTACAATATATTAAGCAATACACGGACAAGACAGTGATGATAGTCTGTGATTGTTTACATGGAAGATTTCCAAGCAACGACAAACTCGTACATATAAGACACTGGTAGCGAAAATCGCACTGCAGCTCATGACGCCACACATGACCACGTGAAAATGAATTCAAAAAGTATTAAGTATGGGAAGCCGTTGGTATAAACCAATGGCTTCTGTTACCAATTATAGGCATTTAAAAATATTTGTGGAGATTTCGTAGTTTATTTTGTTCAGGTTAGGTTCCAACTGTTTTATGTATATAGCTTCAAGAATTTTTAGTTTTTGTTTATTGTTTTCATGTTTAAGTATAGTGCTTTCAACAAGGATTTTCTGGAATTGTGTATGCGGCCAGGCATGTTGTTTTAAATGCCTAAAAATGTTAGAATTATCATTCAAATGTAGAGTCAAGTGTTGTGAAAGCGAGTTTGTGGTGTGACCAACATAAATATTATTTAATTCATTGGAGATACAATCTCCCAAAGGGCGCTTGAATTTGTAAACTGTGTTGGTTTTTTGCAAATTGCTAACCAGAGGAGAAGAATCATTACAAATAATTGAGTTGGATATACTAGATTTAGTGTAGTATATGATTACCTTAATTTTTTTGCTAGGATCTGTTGTAGATATATTAGTATTTACTAATTTTTTTAGTATATTTTCATCTTGTTTATAATTAGTATGCATTTGATTACGATATAGGAGATTAATATGTTTGAGATCAGTAGAAGCAGTATTATGTACTATTTGCTTAGTATTGAGATTTCTAAGAAAGTATCTTATTTGTTCATCAACTATATAGTTTGGAAAGCTATTATTAATAAGAGTCTGTTTTATATTCTTTAGTTCACTGTAAAAAATCTGTTTTGTGGATGAATTAGTTTCTGCACAATGTATTAGATTTTTTATAATTGCTATTTTGTAGTAATATGGGCATTCACTCTTGTAGTTAAGTGTACATGAATTTATGCTTGTAGGTTTTTTGTATGGTGAAATAGTAAATTTGTTATTATTTGTGTTTATCAATATGTCAAGGAAGGGAATTTTATTACTAGTATTCAGTTCATACATGAATTTAAGGACAGAATTATTTTGGAACCGTTTTTGAAGTTGAAGTATTTCATCTGTATTTTTAACTAACATAAGAATATCACCAACATATCTTAGGTAGATGGATGGTTTTTTTTAAATCTGTAAATATCTTATTTTCAAGGTTCGACATGTAGAAATTTGTTTTTATTTGTACTTGTTGACAACACTATATAATAGTATCATCTACATGAAAAAAAAACACTTAATAATATCAACTGTGAACATGGACACAATATCTTGACCATGTTTTTAAAAATGAAAACATTATACAAATACATACATGCAACAAACTATTTCTTATTTAATAGTTAAAATATTTCATCCTTGAAAATAGCTGAATGTACAGCTGAAAGTGCTCAGAAAAAAGAACATTTGGACAGTGCATATATATATATATATATATATATATATATATATATATATATATATATATATAGGCATGTGTTGTTAAAGACTACCTTTTTTTTCTTGCAAGTTTTTAGTATTTGAGTCTAAGTTGTTGAAATAAGACCCTAGTCCATATTGTCTTGCTGAGCACTTTCAGTTATCATGAACCACCATCATGGCAGTATGTTCTGGTTTAAAATTGGTTGCTTATTTTATTTTTATAGATAATAACTGAAAGTGCTCAGCGAAACAACATAGACCAGAGTCTTATTTCAACAACTTAATTCCAAATATAAAAAAAACTTGCAAAGACGAGCAGAAAAAATTATTAAACGGAAAAGTTCCAGATTCTTTAGCAACACGTCTTAATAATGATATGCTACCAATATATATATATGTGTGTGTGTGTGTGTACACACACATACATACATATATATATATATATATATATATATATATATATATATATAAAAAAATACTAAATCCGTAGATGGTAGGGATTATTTAAAGAAGGTCTTTTAATATAAAAATGTTAAATCCATTATGATAGCTCAATGTATAAATTTATATACAGAGCGATATAAATAAATAAGGAAAAGACTTAAATATTCATCATATAATCAGTTATAAATTTATTTCAACAGATATATACATATATATACCTACCTCATCAGACCGAATACATTTTATTAAATGATATAAATTCAGACTGTCAATTATCATATACAGTGTAACCCAGATATAAGAGAGTTGTCGGGACCGGAGACGAAGTCTCTTATATCCGGGTTTCTCTTATATATACATTAACACAGGCTCTAATTTGGGACCAGAGAAAATTTCTCTTATATCCGGGTTACACTATATATATATATATATATATATATGGCTTAATATCAATTACTATAAATGTAATCTTGATTAAAATTGAATAAAATAAACCTAAGGTGCCTTTCATCTGACACAATATGTGTCTTCTCTCTCTCACTCACACCTCTGAAATAGTGAATAGGTGTGTCCCAAAATTTTTCAACATATAGTATTTTTAGAATATGTAATAAAAAGACTGCAGCTGAATCATGAGGCTGAAGAACTGAAAATTCTACCAAATAGATAAGTATGTGACTTATAAATGCCAAAAAAAAAAAAATGGAACAGAACTAACCATTAAAGAATGTCCCCTCTCCCCAGATCATAGAAAAGCAAGAAAAGAGGAGGCGGTACTGGTCAGGTTCTGAATTGGCCACACCCATCTTATACATTCTCATTTACGTAAGTGAACCACATGCAATAAATGCCAACTTTGCCTCACAATAAAAAAAATAAAAGCCCAAGAATGTCTTAACGAAACTCAAATAAAACATTATCAGGTACCGAACATAAGAAACCTCTTCAAAAACCACAGAATTCAACATCATTTTAAACTTCCTAAAAGAAATTAACCGTTATACCAAAAATTAAGAAAAAAGAAAGCTGACCATTCACATGATACAAATTGCAAGCAAAACCATTTCCCTTCAACATAAATTGGCTCTGAATAATCCACTGGCGGTTGAAAGGCATTTAAATACACAAACCAATAAAATAATTACAAGAAAAAAAAGAAAATTCCCCAAACTGTTGATTGGAGACGGAGGGTGAAGAAATAATAATTTAATTAATAACAGAATTGGTTCGAAAGTCTGTGTTTATTTTGGTCGACAAAATTCAACGCTTAAGGGGAGATAACTCCGTCCTCGCCACTTACAAATATTCCTCAACTGCAAAAATGAAATGAAAAACAGTTCAGTCTTCATTTGCCTTTTTATTCTTTTTTGAGGATTCACATTTTCATGGCTTTGAGGCCATTTAAATATTTTTTTAAATATTTTAAAAATATTAATTTTATTTAAAGACTTTCATTTGTATTGTTTAGATTTTGAAGTATATTTTGTAAAGAAAGATACTATTTACATTGCTCGGACTATCATCCTCATCTTTGTTGCCATATTTATCACAATGTCTTGGTTGTTGTACACTCCGGCTTTCTTCAGGTGGTTGGAATGTCGAACTGAACCCTTTATTTTGCTTGCTGGGGTAGACTGTTCTAGTTCCACATGCCATGTCTAATGGATGTCAGTTATCTGTTAATTCCCCTCTGCAAGTTCTCCACTGCCTTAACCAGGTATTGAACTCTCACACTTTGGGTCCTGTCACTAACGCCTTTATCCACTGTGCCATGTGTCCTTAAAGGGTTCAGTTTGATATTCCAAACACCTGAAGAAGGCTGGAGCATACAGCGGCTGAAACATTGTGATAAATATGGCAACAAAGATGAGGATGATAGTCTGAACAATGTAAATAGTATACAAAATACCACATCTCAGAAATATTAGACAGATGCTGAAAGAAAGATTTTGTTTAAACATTTTGAAACCAGAGTTTTTGTGATTCATCAGAATCGAATGACTGTGAAATGCTTGATGAAATGAAGGAATAAATGGTTTTTAAAATTTAGTTGGAAGAGAGTTTTGAAAAGAACTGATTTGTAAAAATGTTTTGATTGAATTTTGCAAAGTAGGTTATGTCAAGAAAATTTGGGTACAAGATAAAAATTGTGATTATTTATGTCGGCTGCATTTTTTTTTTCTATATTTTCAATTTGTTTGGTTTGTTTTATGATATATCAACACCTCAATGGGTTATTTAATGCTGACAAGATTTTTATTCCTGGTAATATTTTTTTTTTTTTTTTTTTTCAAAAAATGTATTGCTAGTAAAAAATTTCCCCAAAAAATATTGGTGGTATTAAAACCTATTTTTAAACTTTCACAATGTTTTAACTCATTTTTGGGAGGTTAACTATTTGCCCATAGCTGGGATCCTGACAAGTGCTACCACCCCATGTTGGACTTGGGGACACCAGCAATTAAGAGGTGGTTCCATGCTCCTCAAAACCTGATAAAAAGGCTTGCTGTCAGATTTTTGTGATGTCAACGAATACTCGTTGTCACTTTCATAATGCTCATTGTAGTAGACACTTCTGGTGTGGAAACGCCTCCGAATAACACTTGCACTAATAGTACTTGCTCGATAATACTCGCTTGAAGAATAACCACTGAAAGTAATCCGTATAGTAATCACTTAGAAGCCACACTAATTTCCATATATACGTTTCCTTTACCATTACGTGATCTACTTATTCAAAATGGGATTGCTAGTCGAAACTATTACATTCACTTAAGTGCTAATAACCTTGAGAAATGTATAAGTCCTCTTCTTCTCCCTCTCCCCAACTATGTGTAAATAGCAGGACAGACGGGGTTCTATAGCCTTGGATGGAAACTGGTCTACCACAGGAAGAAATGGCAAATGTAGGAAAAAAAAAAAAAATCTGCATTGTCAGTCATGTATCAATGATTGCCTAAGCATGTATCACGCATGCCACATAATTGAACTGTGTTTGCTATCTGGTGATCTGTGTTCAAACTCCAGTGTTGGCAGTGACACTTCATTTCTATATAACACAGATGTACACTATTTACATTATTCAGACTATTATCCTCATCTTTGTCACCATAATTATTATAACATTTCGGCTTGTATGCTACGGCCTTCTTCAGGTGGTTGGAATGTCGAACTGAACCCTTTATTTCGCTCACTGGGGTAGACTGTTCTAGTTCCACGTGCCATGTTTAATGGTTGTCAGTTATCTCCTGTTAAGTTCTCCACTGCCTTAACCGGGTATTGAACTCACTCTTTGGGTCCTGGAACTAACTAACGCCTTTATCCACTGTGCTTTGTGTCCTTGAGGACATCTGTGTCTGAATTTCTGGGTATTATAAACCTAATGTCTTAAGCAACCATTTTTTTTTTTTACCAGTGCTCATGTTTTTTACCAGAGCTCATATTGCAATTTTTGTTATTATTGCTTTTCTCTGGCATTCCTGATCACTGGTTCCCATATTTTATTCATTTCTATGCTTGGTTGGCTCAGGATATTTTTGTGGCCTAGCATATGTGCTGATTTCTTAAGTTTACGCATTTTCCAATGGTGTTCTTTGTCTATGATCTCAACCTGATATAGCAACAAAGATGAGGAAAATAGTCTGAATGTAAATATTGTATATAATACCTCATCTCAGAAATATAGACAAACACAGATGTAGTTTAGGATGATTAAATATTTTCTAGATTATTTTGCTTTTCTCATTCTTACTGATGCTTTTTATCACGACCATCATCATTATTATTATTTTATTCCACCTTATTTTTTTTGTCGATTGTCTTCAGAACAGAAAGCTTTTTTGTTCTGTTCATTATTTGTTAAGAACCAATTCTTTGCCGTATTGGGTATGACAATAAACTACATCCGCCTTCTGGGTAAGATGATGAACTACGTCCAACAGCAAGACCTCAGATCATGAAGTTTTGAGGAGTGTGGAACCACCTCTTAATTGCTGGTGTTCCCAGGTCCACCCTGCCTCGGGTGGTAGCACCTGCTAGATCCCAGCTATGGGCAAATAGTTAACCCCCAAACCCAGATCTCGCCCTGGGTATGACAATAAACTACATCTGCGTCCTTGGTATGACGATAATAAACTACATCCAACAGCAAGGCCTCTGATAATACGTTTTTAAAAAAAAAAAAAAAATATTACCAGCTATACATTTTTGAGAAAAAAAATATTAACAGAAATGGATTTTTGACAAAACAAAAATATTACCAGGAAAAAAAAATTGTCGGCATTAAATGACCCATTGAGGTTGATATGCCGTAAAACAAACCAAATTCTTTGGACCCTTGGTTGGTAGGGAACATGTCTCTTATGTATTAACGTTTAATTTTTCTCTTTTCCAGGAGGAATTGTCCAAAAGCCCGACAACAACTGTCCCGTATGGGTACCAGATGCTGATGCTTCTGTATGCATGTCATGTAAAAAGTGTGTCTTCTCTGTCATCAATAGACGGGTAAGGAGGTTGATAAAAAACAAACTTAGCAAATTTTAGATTGATATATGATAGTCATTTTCCAAGGTTACGGTCAAATCACGCTGAAAACACCGGTTCTCGTTCGATCACCGAAGTTAAGCATCGTGAGAGCCAGGTCAGTACTTAGATGGGGACCGCTTGGGAACACCTGGTACTGTAAGCCCCAAAGTCGAACACTTACCTCACAGTCGGTGGGGGGTGTAAAACGGTAGTGTCAGAGTTATGCCGTCCGGAACTTCGCTCCTGGTAGGGCCACCCAAGACGACAGGTCTGACACACACGCCTAGCTAACAAGGGCTCTGGTGAAAATCAAGGAGCGTCTGCATCGGTAACCGGCGGCTTCTGGTCGCTCCTGTCTCTGCGTCTGTGGGAACCCCCAAGGCAAGCAAGAACGTTATCCCAGTAGGCCTGGGTACCCTACTTGACCAGGATATTGGAACTGTAATTTATCCCAAGAATCTTCTTCTCATAACAGGAAGAAGCCGCTCAATCCGCCCCCAGGGTGAATGCCGCATCAGTACAGTACAGTACAGTAAGCGTAGCTCAGATGTGGCACAAGACCGAAAATATGGGGCACCCAGTGAGGATCAAACTCGCTACTCAGTCGCAATTGTTCTAGCGAGACAAGCTTGCTAACCATTACACCACGTCGAGATGCCCAAGAATGATATTATAACATAAAAAGAAAAATCTTGTAGGCACCCCGCCTGCCTATACATTTAGAGCCACATAAAATTAATAATCAGCTGGTTTATGGCCACATCACATTAACACACAAGTTCCTGTACGATCACCCAAGTTAAGCAACATTGAGCATAAGCTGTACTTAGATGGGTAAACTACTTGGGAATACCAAGTCCTGTATGGTGTGAGTTGTGTAACAGATAATGGCTCAGAATTGTTAATTAGAGAGCCAAGTTTCAATTCCAGTTGGGTTTGTTATATTCCCTTATGCGCAAATACCCTTGGGAAAGATATGAATTCACCTCTTCTCCCACATCTATGGGTTAATTTAGTATGATTTGTATCACTAAACTATTATTATTCCCCACCTTCAAAAAAAAAAAAAAATTCATATAATCTAAAAAATAAAATATTTTCTGGCTTTAAATAACCTGCAAAGGGTTTGATAAGCCATAGAAAATGAATCAATCAATGAAATACTGATTAGCTACACAGACATGTCTTTTAGATTTATTTACATTCTCTGGAATATAAATGAATAGAAACTAATGTGGTCACAAAGTGAGGGATCAGTTTATATATTGATTGTAATATAGAATTGATCCCCCACTTTATATACAGATTATAAGCTCTTATTTGTTGATAAGCCATAGAAAACAAATCAATCAATGAAATATTGATTAGCTACACAGGCATGTCTTAAATTTATTTACATTCTCTGGAATATTAATGTATAGAAACTATTGTGGCTACAAAGTGAGGGGTCAGTTTATATATTGATTGTAATATAAAATTGATCCCCCACTTTATACCAACACAATTTCTTGTTTGTTTATAAAATTCTGCTTTGGTATGAATCTACCTCTTCTCCCACCAGCAATGGGTTAATTAGTAAGACTTGTATCACTTGAACTATTATCATCTCCCCCCCACCCAATCTTAAAATATAAAAAAAAAATATTTTCTGGTTTTAAATAACCTGCAAAGGGTTGATAAGCCATAAAATAAAGAATTGATCAGCTAAACCTGCTCCACCGACTTTCATCCAAAATCCTTATCACCTGTCGCAGAGTCTCTTAAATCTGCATGATGTTTGACCAACTTTTCTCCAAGAAGCCATATCAGTCTCCAGGCCCTTAAGGTTACTTTTTGCAATATTCTTAAAAGACTTCCTTGGTTTACACTGTCCTTTCACCTCTGCTTAGCTTCCCTATAGAATATCTGTTTCGGGTACCTCCCATCATCCACCCTGACAATATGACCAGCCCAGCACATCTAGTCTAGAATTATCCATTTTTTTTGCTAATCTCAGGAATGATAGTATCCTGTGTGCAAGAAAACCATTTGAGGTTTAGGATCTCCAGCAGCCTGTAATGGTAATATTCGAGGCCAAACCTAATTGGGGACCCTGGGCAGTACTTTTGTGACTCTTTCTATCTTATCAACATTTGCTTCTTTCTAAGGGATCAAGAGGTTACAGAGGGTGAGAATAAATAATAAAGAGGGGGTTGTTTGAGAAAAGGATAAAGAGGAGGACAGGGGTCATGGTCAAGGCATCAGAAGATGTCAATTGACATTATATTTGAAGATTATAGCCTATCAGGGAAGCAAGTGATAGGAAGGGAGTTCCACTAACTGGAGGTGTGAGAGAGGACCTGTTGGAGTAGAAGAGACGGTTACATTTAGCCATTTTGACAGTGAAAGGGTGGGACCAAGATGCCGACCTAGTAGCACGCTTAAATTCATGCAGTTTGGGAACAAGTGAAAGTAGCTCATCTGAGCACTTGCCATGGAAGTACTTGTAGAAAAGACAGAAGGATTTATGTATATTAAAAATTAAACTAAGTACAACTATTAAAGAATGGTAAATTTTTGTTGATTTTGACATTATTCTGGGGTCTTTTTTTTTTTTTTTAAGTTATTCTCGTTTGAGTCCTTCCTTCAAATCTATAAATCAACCATCCATGCATGGAATATTGCTGTCATATATGGTCTGATGCTCCCGCTGTAGGTCTGTAGGTCCTCAACAAAATTCAGAGACAAATATGCAATATGATCGGTCTTGAACTGGCATCTAGTCTACAATCGCTACCCCACAGATGTGCCGTGGCTTCCCTCTGTCTCTTTTACAAGTATTTTTCCGATGAACTACTTTTGCTGGTTCCCAGACTGCATGAATTTAAGCGAGCTACCAGGCTGGCATCTCGGTCCCACACTTTCACTATCAAAACAGTTAAATGTAACTCCTCTCCTCCCTTCCACAATGACTATAATCTTCAAATATTCAAGTGTAATGTCAATTGACATCTGACACTCTGAGCTTGTTCCCCGTCCTTCTCTGTATCCTTTCCCCAAACATGACTCTTTACTCTTGTTCTCAATCCTCTGTAACTCCTTGTGTGCTAGTGGCACTCCCTCTTTGCAATGTTCAATTATACAGGGTATGTGCCATCACTACATACCCTCACCTCTGAAAGGGCCTTTGATCTTTGTCATGGTTTTGAATTTTCCTAACACTATTCGTATTCTGTAAAAGATTTTCTTAAAATTCTCGGCCATTTCTTGTGCTTGGAACAGATCTCAATGTATTTGACATTTTGTAGCAACCGACACTGCATTTCTCAACTAAAATTGTAATATAATCTTTTCTGGCATGTTTTTTTCTCTCATTTCAGCACCATTGTCGAAAATGTGGCATTGTCGTTTGTAATCCGTGCTCCAGTAAAAAAATGCTTTTGCCACAGCAGTCTTCCAAGCCACAACGTGTTTGCAACAACTGCTTTGAGACGAATGTAGATTTGGATGCAAATACCACACCCTCGGCAGATTTCTGTAAGTTGAAATGCTTTGTCTTTTAATTTCAGCTGCAATCTCAAAACGTGACTATTTTTAGATGCATTTTATGGTCTTGGACTTAATCTGGTCCTCTTAAATAAAATTCAAGAATTTATCCTAAAAATTTTTATTTGGTGTCCCTTGATTCAATTTGGTCCTTTGCTTAGGATAAATCCAAGAATTTTATATATCTTGACAAAAAGACAAATTGAATCTAAGGTCACCATCTCTTATAGTAAGGCTGAGTTATTCGGCTGGAAGATATTTGAAACTGGGTCCCACTTATATGCTGCTTTGGTAAACTTTCCCTTAAGCAGCATAAAATAAACTGCTATTCCCCAAACACCATAAAATCAATAAGACAAATGTATATACATTTATTACAGTTAAGCATTATTACAATGGATAATGGTGGACTAAAGAGCAGAAAACACAGGACTGTTTTTGTACTACAGGGCCCACAAAATACGGTTGATGAATAAGACCATCATGGGAGTATATCCCGTGGTTGATTTTCCCCGTTGATTCCAGCATAGGCTGCTAAGCCAAGTGAAACAATATGGCTTCCAGGCCCAAATATATTGCACAATCGCCTGGGCACCTCTAGGTGGTGTAATGGTTAGCAAGCTTGTCTTGCTAGAACAATTACGACTGAGTACGGAGTTCAATCCTCACTGGGTGCCCCCTATTTTCGGCCTTGCGCCACATTTAAGCTATGCTTGGAAAATCACTACTGCACAATCGTCTCGTTGCTCACTGACCTGGTATCTTGACTAATAAAACACTTTCCTGGACACTGCTTGATAATACCAAATGGCCAGGAAACTACTGGACATGGTGAGATTTATGATGAAAAAGACATTTAAAGATATAAAAATGTTTGTTTTATGCCACTTAAGTGAAGGATTGCTGTTTTTATCAAAACCTGTGATTCATGCCCAAACACGTCCTGATTAAACTCTTGTGCTGTTATGGGGATATTGGGCTTTGGTTATTTGTACCGGAGTCTCATTTTCGGAACTGTTGGAGAGCCAAGTTCAAATTCCTGTTGGTTTTAGTTTTACGGCATATTAACCTCAATGGGTTATTTAATACCAACAACATTTTTATTGTTGGTAATATATTTTTTTTAAATCTATTCCTGGTAATATTTTTCCTTCGAAAATTCCATTTCTAGGAATAATTTTCTTTCAAATATGTATCATTGGTACCATGTTGGGCTTAATATATTCACTTACATGCAAATAGCCTTGAGAAAAAGGCATGAATCAAATTGAATCTAAGGTTATCATCTATTATAGTAAGACGGTGTTCTCTTTTTCTACCCTCACCCCTGACTAAGCTATAGGTAAATTAGTAAGATTGAACAGGAGTAGAGGTTTATCCCTTGTTTAGTTTTGGGTTTCCAACTTCTGATGTCTCCACTGGAAATCTGAAATTTTATGCATTATTTTTCCACACTCAGTAGGAGTAGATAGGTTTGCCTATCGTCTGATTCACACTCCTCCTTGGTCTTTTGAACAGGAGTAGAGGTTTATCCCTTGTTTCCTCTTTAGGATTGGGTTTCCAGTTCCTTCTAAAGTCTACTTCAACTCTTTACTTCTAACATCTCCAACTGAACTCTTAATTGTTTTTTTACTAATTATTTTTTCATCTACTCAATAAAAGTAGATAGGTTTCCCCTATCGTCCAGTTCATTCCCCTTTTTTTTGAACAGGGTAGAACTTTATCCCTGGTTTCATGCTTAGGACTGGTTTTCCAGTTCCTTCTAAAGTCTACTTCAATTCTATACTCCTAATGTCTCCACTTGAAATTTTATTCATTAATTAAATCTTGACTTCTTCAAGTGTAGAATTAGCTGTCTAGCTTTCCTGATGTCTTGCCCTTTTTATGCTAATAGAACAACCTCCCTTGAGTGGCCCTTGTGCCTTGTATTGGGTGAACATCAGAAAAAAAACAACATGGGAAGGCTTCTTTTACTTTTTGATTTTTACAAAGTTTGGAGCCCATCATGAGTATTAAAAAACAAATGTCCCCCATAAAAATAATCCGTCAATGTATTGTAGTATTTGTGCAAGAATTAGTAACCATGAGTTACGCCCCCTTGGTACAGGATTGTTCTGAATGAGATTGTGACTGGGTGTGAAATAAATAAATAAATCAATAAAATGCAAGCTCACCACAGACACTATATATGCTTTTTGAACATAAGAACTTAAAATAAACTGTCACACCGATCTCCTTGTTGTTCATACTGAAACACCTGGAAATATTACATGTGTCCGTACTAATATGGAAAAGAATGATTATTTTCAATAATATATGAATAATATTTGGAGTGCACATGCAGAGGTCATTCTGACTTATGGTGAAAAGGGTTAGGGCTACTCCTATTGAGATGAAAAAATAATTAGTGAAAAACAATTAAGAGTTCAGAGATGTTAGAAATATAGAGTTGAAATAGACTTTAGAAGGAACTGGAAACCCAATCCTAAAGAGGAAACAAGGGATAAACCTCTACTCTTATTCAAAAAAACCTATCTACTCCTACTGAAGGAAGAAAATAAATAGATAACATTTCAGAGTTTAGGTGGAGATGTTAGAAGTCTAGAGTTGAAGTAGACTTTAGAAGGAACCAGAAACCCAATCCTAAACAGAAAACAAGGGATAAACCTCTACTCCTGTTCAAAAAGACCGGGGAGGAGTGTGAATCAGACGATAGGCAAAAGAGGTTAAGAACCACTGGACTATATTTGTTCACCTTGGTATTCACCCCTTTTATTCCAACCACTCTGTTTGAATCTGGATAATAATAATAATAATAATAATATAAAAGAAGGAATAAATATCTCATGTGATGTTCCTTTAGATTTCGGAATGGGTGGATATTGGATATACAGGTTGTTCAAGAAATATATCAAAGAAACCTCAAATAATTTAAATAAAAGATTATATGAACCTTTGGAGGCATGATGGGGTAATGGATAGCGGCTTGGATTTAGGAATCAGAGCACCAAGTTTGAATTCCATTACATTCATTTACATGCTAATACCCTTGGGAAAGGTATGAATCCTCTTCTCTCCCCAGCTATGGGTAAATAGCAGGACAGACTGGGTTCTATAGCCTTGGGTGGTAACCGGTCTAGGAGAAGGAAAAACTCTGAATTCAAAACCATCCGAAGGAGGGTTGAGCTCTCTCAGGTTATCATGCCCAAGCCACACCACTTCTACTGCAGCTGCAGGTGCTCCTATGACCCTCAGGTGTCACGGGATGAAGAAAAAAAAAAAAAAAAACACAAAATGGATCTTTTTACAAAACAACACACTAAATGCATTTAGTCGACCATAACAAGGCGCTGATAACAATTTTGATTTTAAAAATGCTACTCTAAAAAAAAAAAAAAAAAAAAAAAAACAATTTACTAAGATACAAATATATAGGAAGTGCTTTAATCACTAGATCTTCCACAATAAATCTGCACCCAGCTCCTTACATGTCATTATTCTTGACAAATCTTCTATTATCAGTGATTTGGGGGGGGGTATTTAATAACAAAAGTGATGAAAAGAATAAGAATCTAAATGAAATTAGCTAGATTATATTCCCAAAACACATTAAAAAAAAAACATCATCTTTAAATTTAAAATTCCCAGGATCACGTGTGTAGTCGCATCAAGGTAAATAGACTTAATTTGATGAAGTTCTAAAGGATGAAACACGTCATGTGAAAAATTATTCCACTTCTCCACCCCTGCAAAGCAAATTTAAGGATTTTATTTTGCCACATGTATTTATAAACAGAAGTCAAAATATTAAGTTTTCAAAATTTTTAAATTTAAGGTCACTCTAAAAGATTCTTAAAGATACATTTTTGTAATTTAATGCCTAATGGCAGATTGTCTATTATCAAAATTTGACATATTTAACAAGTTGATATTGTTGAAAATGCCAGAGAAAAATTTTAGCAGTCCTGGGTATGACGATTTTTTCCTTTAAGATTTTACGTCCAACAGCAAGGCTTGATTTTAAAATGGAACCACCTTTTTAATTGAAGTTCACCCTTTGGGGTGGTAGCACCTGTTAGGGTCCCAGCTATGGGTAAATAGTTGACACCCAAACTGGGGTCAAAACACTATGAAAGTGTAAAAATAGGTTTTAATACATACCAGAAATACTTTGTAAAAAAAAAAATTACCAACTATAGTTTATTTTGAAAGAAAATATTACCAGCAATAAAAAATTTATCGGCATTAAATAACCCATTGAGGTTGATATGCCATAAAACAAACCAAACCAACCTGACCCGGGGTGGTAGTGCCTGTTAGGGTCCCTGCTATGGGTAAATAGTTAACCCCTAAACTGGGGTCAAAACACTATCAATGTGTAAAAATAGGTTTTATTACCAGCAATACATTTTTGAAAGAAAAAAAAAAATTACCTGCAATAAAAATTTTGTTGACTTTAAATAAACCATAAGGTTGATATGCTGTAAAACAAACCAAACAATGTTAGTCATCCTAGTAGGCACTCGGTTCCATAATACATTTTGTGAATGATACAAAAATCTGCCTTATTGGGTACAGCAAACATGCTTCGTAATGTACTTGGGTCCTTGTTGTGACTTAATAGGCAGTATCTTCCCTGGTACACGAGATATCTGCATAACACCACTACCATGATATTTTCATTATAATGTTATAGTTGATTTATTTCATAATCAAAGAACGATGATTGATTTTTTTTTTTTTAGTTTGTCAAACCATAGTTATTTAAAATCAAAATTTTGAATTGTAAGAATAATTCTTTTTTTCTTTCTTTTTTGCAATTTAATATTGCATTAAAAATTCTTTTGCAAATAACAATGATTTTTTTGATACAATTTTAATTATTTAACTCATAGCCGGCAGGAGAAGAGATGGATTCATACCTTTCCCAAAGGTATTTACACATAACGGAATGTAATGAACCTGACCAGAATTCAAATTCGCCTTTCCAATTTCTTATTCTAAGATTACTATCCATCACAAAACCATCATCAAGGCGTGGACAGAAGTCTACGAAAATGGCTCTGAAAATTATTGACAGACTTAAGATTTTTTTTTTGTAAAAATGTTGCCATGTGTCTCATTTTCAGAAGAGACACATCAGTTTGTCAGTCATGTTTTGGTGCCATATGCAAACTTTGATGTGATGATGACCTTCATGAATGACCTCCCACCTCCTAAAAAATGTGGACCATTTCATAATCGAAATGAAAGTGCTTTGTGTAAAATTACAAAAAAAAAAAAAAAAAAAAATACTGAATTTTTCTTGTACTTACAGTCAGTCCATCAGCGGCTGACGACTCCTCCTCAGGTGATGAGTCTTCAGATGATGAAGATGAAAGAGGCGATTCTTACCTGGACAATGCCAACAATACAAATATTCAAGATCAACAGGTGAGATTTAAACTGTCTTGCAATTTCTACTGTGAAATGACTTTATGGATGCAATATTTGGGGGGGGGGCATTTTTATAAGAAAGTTTAAATAGAATATTAGATAATTTTTTACCATGTTTCTTTAACTGTTTTGTGAGTAACTTTTACAAGAATTATTGACCTTCCAAGATCTGGGTTAAAATTTGGTTGCAAAAGCAAAAGTGATCCCCCAATTAAAAGCAAAAGTGATGCCCCAATTAATACAGAACTTTACACTCAAGCAACGTCCTTCCCACAAACCACTGCTTCAAAACTCCAAAGAGGATGCTTTTCTCAATCAAGACAATTTTTATATGCCTCTTACTCTGTAAGTCTCTACTTGGAATGGCTCTTGGACATTGTACAGGGTGAACAAAGAAACTGATCCTCCACTTAGTATACATTTGTTTGTTAATCAAAAATCAAATATTGACAATCTACTAAATAGTATTGAGGTACAAGCTGTGAACTAGCTTATGTTTGTAAAACCCTGCACTAGCATGTCAAGCGAATGAATCTTGTAGATCCTTAGTAATGACTAACCCCCCTTTGAACCATATGGCTTGGCGCTACAAAATCCCAAAGAACTGTACCAAATAAGAAACACCACATCACTTGAGAACTTTCAACAGCTGCAATAACTAAAATGGATAGCAGAGAGAATAATGGAAAAAAAAGCAATGATTGTTTTAAGAGAATTTTATAAATCTTAACTGAGTTCTACTGGCTTCAGCAGTCAGTCAATAAATGCCAAATGTTTCCTTATAATGAATCTGTTAATATCACCATTAGAGGTGAAAACAGATATTACATTATTATCACATCCTGATGACCAGTGAGTGAAGAAATAACATGAGTGGCACAGACTGTTTCCTTATAAGGAAATGGTTACTATTACCAACATTTTTTTTTTTTTGGTAAGTAGAGAAATCTATAGAATTTACTATAGCAAAAAGTGTAGTTTATAACTTTCTTTGATAGTGCAAAAAAAAAAAAAAAAAATTAAATATTGCCTATGCATTTAAATTCTGTGGCTTGACTGTCTATAGAACTGGAAGCAAAATTTATGCCCTAAAAAGTAAAGGTACCAATGATTTGGTGACCAAAGCCTATTTGCAATATTGATTGACTCTTGAAGATGTGGATAGTCAAGAGTAGAAAACCTTTGACTGTTTTTTTGGCTAGCATCAGTTAGAGACAATCAGCAAATGCACAAAATTACCAATTGATTTATTCTCTAGTCTTCAAGCTGACCACTGACAATCCCTTTCTTAAGTATTTTTCATGCACATAAGTATTAAAAATTCATTTTTCCTAGTGAAGAAAAAAATGTAGCAAGTAACAGTATAGTCAATGGGCAGCAATAAAAAAAAAAAATTAAAACTTTTATAATATTGTTTAAGGTTTGACTTTAAGGAAAAATTAGTCATTAAATGTAACAGTAGATAAAAGTATTGATGCACTTGACTAATATGTAACTATTTATTGTTTCCAGGTACAATTTTATGAACAAGAGTCGATGTAGACATCAAATGGCGAGTGCCACTTAACGTCCACTTATTGAAGACAAACTGAATTGATCGTGATTATCTCCCTTGATTCACTCGGAAAACTAAGGAGACAAAAAAAAAAAAAGCAGCAGCAAACGCGATTGAAACAATATTTTCTTTCCAGAGGGAAAAAAAAAATCCACATCCATCCAAGACAATAAAAATGAAATAAATACTCCCCCCCCCCACACCAAAAAAACGCGTGCACACACAAACAACTATTTTTTTTTCCTCCTTAAATTAATTGGGTCTTTATTATTATTTTTTTTTTTTTTTACACGCCCTTTAACTTAAAAATAAAATTATACCCTCTTTCCAAAAAAGAATTTCCTCTCCTCTTTTGAATAACCCAACTTGAATTGTTAAATATTCGTACCTTGCACTCTAATAATAAAAGAAATTATTAATAATTAACCCAATTTGAACTAAAATTCTTTTTCTTTTCTTTTGAAAACTTATTATTTTGGGGCTTTTCTCATGGTTATCCCAAACTGTTCACTTTTTGTTTTCATCTGCCTCTTCAGATGATTTGGTAGGTAATTAGAGAGGAGGAGGCGGAGGCCACTGCCTGCTAAGATACAAGTAGTTTTTAGCTGTCTTCTTAATAACATGTCTTGGTGTTAATCAAGGCACTGACAAGACACCATGAACCCAATTTTCTGTACATTTTCAGTGATTTAAAAAAAAACAAAAAAAAACTGATGATTAGCAGCCCAGGATCTAAGACTTCCACCCCCCCACTGAACTTTCTTTCTAAGAGTAATATAGTCTTTTATTGATTCCTTCAGCATCCTTACTACCTGCATAGTAGTAGGGATGACGAAGGGATTTTACTTTCAAGCTAAACTTTATAAGGAAAAAAAAAAAAAACCCAAGAAACTAGGTAAAACATTTTTTAGGCCACAACACTTGTCAGAATAAAAAAAAAAAAAATTCCCATAACAAATAAACGGATATATAGAGAAAGAGAAATATAAATTATGTATCTCAAATGCATGCATGTACTTCCCAAAAACAAAACATGCATAAACTAGTTAGAAAAAATTTTTTAAATACAGGGTGTAGCAGAAATACCTTCTCAGACATTGCCACTAATGTCTTATTGTGTAGGAGGTACCTTTTATAGTTTGGTACACTGTTGAGACATTGTATGCACCGGCCTTCTTCAGGTGATATATATTGGAATTTTGTACTGATCCTTTTATTTTGTCGACTGGGGTAGATTATCATTCCACGTGCCATACCGTTTCTGGATATTTCATTTATTTCCCTTTAGTAACTGAATCACCTCTGCTGTGACAAGGTATTGGAGTTACTAAAGGGAAATTAATGAAATAGACATGGCACGTGGAACTATGACAACCTACCCCAGGTGGACAAAATAAAGGGTTCAGTTCGAAATTCTGACATACCTGAAGAAGGCCAGAGCGTACAACGGTGTAATTCTGACATGCCTGAAGAAGGCCAGAGCATACAACGGTGTGGTTGTGAATATGAAAATAAAGATAAGGACAGTGATAGACAGAAAGAACAAAGAATTATTCAATCGCCTCTAAAACACGGCTGCCCAATCGCCTCTAAAACACGGCTGCCCAATCACCTCTAAATTGATAAGAAATCAATATTTTTTTTTACCTTAAATGAATGGGCCACTCTATTGAAGTAATTTCCAAAAAGATTTTCTTTTAATTATATTTTATTTCTCATTTCCAGATCCTGACTTAATAAAATTGTTAAAAAAATATATATAAGAGTGATACTATGGAAACCCATTATCAACTTTTTCTGTTTGATAGACAAGCAGATGGGTTCCTTTTGAAGTTTGGTCTTCTAAGCTGCACCCATTTTGACTGAAGGGTAATGGAAAATAAAAGGGTATATGAGAAATTTTTGCAGATCAAGTGGCAACAAAATGAGAACGTGAGAAACCCCCACCCCACCCACAATTCAATAATTTTGGTTTTATTTCCAACACCTACCCTTAAAAAAAATTAAAGTTAAAATTTTGATAAAGAGAAACCAATCCATTATGAAAGAAATTTATAAAGAATTTAACACTTAAATTCTGTACTGGAAATATTTGCAGGCAGAATGAAGATGGCTATAAAACAGACAAAATCCCTTGAATTGGATTACTTGCTGTTAATTTTCATAATTTCTAAGAGTTAGTAAACAAATAAAAGTTACTATCTTATAGTAGTGCAGGTAATAATTCACTTTGCACTACAGCCTTTGGGAAAAGCATAAATCGTTCCTCAAGAAAGCAAGGTAGGGGAGGCCACTCTTGCTTTTCTCGTGAAGCCATGGCAATTACACAGATAAATAACTGATGTCCCTCGCCCCCAAAGAATCAGGCTAGTTAGAAATTGAGTTACATAGTAACTCAATTTCTAAATGAAATTCCCATGCCTGGTCAGTGTCATCTGCTCGAAGCTGAAAAAATGAAAATGGCATCAACCCCCTTTTTTTTTTTTTTCTAAGTAAATAGAGGTAGAATCCTGATGCAACATAATCTTTCTCCTGCAGAAATAAAATAAATCTCTTCCAACTGGTTACATCTGAAGCAAAGAAAAATAGAACATTGCTATTAAAGTCACCATCAGAATGGGAAATAAAAGGATAATGATTGTAGAAGGCTGTAGAATGTATTGGCTGAAATAGTAATGGATTTAATATTACAAATGAAATGACAAAAAAAAAAAAAAAAATTAAAAGTTTGAGAATTTTATTTTTTTATTTTTTTTTCCCCCTCCCCATTTGGACAGGAAATAAAATGAGAAATTTAAAAATCAACGTTTTTATCTTTCGTTCGATCTATCACATCAATTGATAGATTATAATAAGAGATTCTCTTTATTTTGATACATGTGGACGTTAGGTGCTGTTTTATTTTTCTCTTTCTCCAAGGAAAACATAAAATACCCAAAATTAAATATGAGTAACTGTCTTCAGGGACACTCAATAACAGGGCTTATAATAATAATAATAATAAAAAAAAATTTGTGGGGAGAATGTATGAAAGGGTGCTGAAAAGTTCTTGGCCCAATCAAGAAAGATGCAGCACAATATATCTATCAAGAATAAAGAGATGAATAAAAAAAAAAAAAAAATCCTTTTGTGGCATTAACACTCAATATGTCTATCATTCAGATTTCATACAGTATTTATATATATTTTTTTTTTTTTTCCAAAACTGCCTAGCAACTTTCTTAGCATGCAAACACCAAACTTCGGCTGATATTGAGAATTGTTGATCAGGCTCAGAAAATTCTCTAACCTGCTGGGATCAAATCAAGTTGAATTGATTGACTAGCAGAATGATAGGAAAAAAAAAAAAAAAAAAAATTTTTTTTTTTTTTTAAAACACTAAATAATTTCAGTTAATTTTCTTTGTCCTTGTTGGCTAACGAAGGTGCCACATACGTCTCCAGTTCTTCAAAATGCAGTTTTGTCCGGAGCAGCGTTACTTCAGCTTTGTCCATGCCTTCTTCCAATACACCGGGACAAGTAAGTTCCACATTGCCAGCATTTGCCTACAAGGAACCAAAAGAAAGAAATAGAAAAAAAAATTTTTTTTCCCCCCCCACCAGGCTACATGACAACATGTCTGTGTCACTTTTGTATTCCTCATCTCTAGTCTACTTGCAAAGACATGACTCTTCCCAATTTTTATTCTCTAGGGTAAGATCTGATAGTGATGTTGAAACTGAACAGTGAAATAAATAAACAGTTCCTTTTAGTTCAGATTCCAACTCTAAGACAAGAGACGTCAAAAGGGGATGCCAAGAGCAAGCCATATTCAATACGTTTCCTACTTTAAAGTTTGTCTGACCTGTTAGGCCACCTTGATGAAGGTAGCTTAATTAAAATATTCTTCTAGGTGCCATGTTCCTTCAGGTCATGGGAAAGTATGGTTCTCCATAACTTTCTGTCTCTTGTAGATCTTAGCGATGTTAGTTTTTTTTTGTTTTTGTTTTTTTTACTATCTCTCTTAATACCTGTTCTGCCAACTACTAGGTTAGATTATTTGCTACTTTCCTCTGTCTTTTAATAGGCCCTGAGTGTCAGATTTTCTAAGCCCTCTTTCCTCTATTTTTACTTTCACCCCCACCCGCTGGGTATAAGCTGACCAGTTTTCTCCCTTACATTGTTCACTTTATACTCACTCCAAGAACTGACAACAAAAATGTTAAACACTAATAGACTGCTTAATTACAAAAATTAGTTGATTTTTTTTTTTTTTTTTTGCAGCATATCAACACCTCTATGGGTTATCTAATGCCAAAATCTAAATATTTTGTACATAATTTCATTCTTTCAGGGTAAAAAGTATGCTTTTTTTTTTTTTTTTTTTCATTTCTTTTTTAAATAGTTTTTACATCATACAATGTGTTGCTGGTCATTTTACTATGTTTTGGGGCTCACCCCTGGGACCCCAACAGGCACCATCACCCTAGGTCAGGGTGGAAGTGAGAACAACAGTAATAAGAGGCCTTCCTGACAGACTTTCATTATCAAGTCTCAAGAAACAAGGGAATGTATAAATCCAGTTTCATGTGTGAGTTTTATTAAGATTCTAAAAATAGCTTTTTAAAAAACAAAAATTACCAAAAAAGAGTCTTCAGTAAATAGTGGTGTCAATAGAAAAACTCCTTTTGACACTGTTCTTTTGCAGGTAAAAATGCTAAATTTGGTAACAAGAAAGAAAAAAAAAAGTCATCTTTAAAACTCCTCAAGACTAAGTTGTTTACATAAAGACCTATCCATAGGAGTGATGGGGTTTCTTAAGCATAATAGTCTCAGAGAAAAGAGGCTTTTCAAAAGAAAAACCTGGCCAAACTCAATGGACCACATCGTTTGTTTACATAAAAATATATTCACAGGTGATCTAATAGAAAGCTTCTGGAAAAGTCTATTATCAAATACACAAGATCAACATCGTACATGCAAGTTAATTTTACCATGCAGTATAAGCAGCCAAATGGTAACAATGGTTATGTCATTTGCTTGCTGACCTTGAGATTGTATGTTCAAATCCAAGTTGAATGCACTTGTTCATTTTGAATATGTATTTGCTTTAGAATAAGTTAGAGAAATCAAAGAACATTAAGAGGAAAAAAGAAAAAAAAAAAATGATGCTAATAGATTTTGGTTAAATGAAGCACTAGTTCCAGGAAAGAAAAATCTCTAACAGGCAAACCTGTTAAACCCCCCCAAAAAACAAAAACAAAAAACATTTATGCAGACCAGAAATCCAAATGTCTTTTACTTAAGCTGGATCCACCTTCTATAATACCAGGGGTACTCATATAAACAAACTGAATAACGAACATTTTTTTTTTTCTTAAGGAAACTAAATTTGCTTGATGAACTGAAAATTGAACAATGAACTGCAAGTACACTACATCTCCACCTGAGTACGTGGGAGAGGCTAACACATCAGATTATTTGTATTAAGACCCTACCGAGATATATATTTTACTTAGGAAAGTTAGCTGGTAAGAGAAGCAAAAGTTTGACAGCCAAAACGCTGACTTGATAATGTCCATTTATTGGCTGGATTTGGCCTTTACTCTTCCAACTTTGTTGTTGGTGATGGTACAAGTGGAGTAAATGACCGAGATATATATAAAAATTTAGTTGAAAATTATAAAATAAAAATCACTACAAAAATAACCATTTTGTTTCAACATTTCTATCAAGTGTTTATCAAGTGATGGTGTTGAATATAGAATTAAGGGTTTCAAAGGGGTCCAATCGACCAAAGATACCTTGTTGGGGAAAAGTTGTTACATAAGTTGCAATGACCAATCGAAATACAAGTATATAAGAATTCAAAAAACTTGACAACGAACCTTGATTATAATTATTAATGCCTTAATGTTAGAATGATTTCAATTTTAGTCTAACTAATTAATATTTTACTATAAAATTGAAAATTACCAATTTTAAATTTAATCTGTATTAAGTTTAAAATATAAAATTATTTAAAGAAGAAACTGAGGAAAAAATACATGTATTTTATTATTTATTTTGTTTTTTTGAAAGGCCGAAATCTCAGAATAAACATTAAAAGGGGGATGTAAAACTTTGTTACAACTTAGATACATCTGAAGTGGTGATATGGGCAGGGGAGGATAAAATCTTGCAAAAGACAATACATACACATTCAGATTATAATACATAAACATGTAGACATATTTAGATATATAAACACGCAAAAAGACAAATGAAATAGGAAATAGATGTCCACAACGAAACGAAAACGAAACAAAAACAGACAACATATACATACAATGCAAAGCATATATAAGCGATCATACACACATACATACATTAATAAAGACACACACATCTACACAGATTCAAGTTTGAAAGTGTTAGTAAACAAATTCAAACAGACTATTAAATTATTACTTACATGGGCAAAGATATAAAGATAAAAAAAAGAATTCAATAAATAAAATTTAAGAGGGGTAGAAAAGAAAAAGCAAATATTCGTCAATGAACAAAGCAAAGAAAAAAGACAAAAAAATATATATATATAATATATATATATATATATATATATATATATATATATATATATATATATATCTCCGACAGTATGAAGAAAAATATACTGAAAAAAAGAAACAAAAATCCTGCTATGCGATTATGCTGTTTTAATGTCAACGTCGGACGTTTCGGTCTAATAGACCATCTTCAGGACATATTCATAAAATATAATTAACATAGACTATATACAATTCAACATGAAACCAATCCAAACAGATAACTGAAATCTTTTATATGATCTTATAAAAGATTTCAGTTATCTGTTTGGATTGGTATTGCTTTTATGTAGCATTGACAGGTCACCTTCCTGACAAACTGACCCTCGTGATATTTTGGAAACCACTCAGCAACATGGTGTGTGTGTGTGTGTGTGTGTGTGTGTGTGTGTGTGTGTGTGTGTATAAAATACCAACAAACCACTCTGCACAACCTGAGTGAGCAGTGGTGGGGAGACTGGGGATGTAATACAAGTAACTTACAAGCATCAATGTAGACAGGAAGAGACGTCCCACTTCATGAGGGGGTTTCCCAGCCATTATCTTTGCTAAAGAAACCTTTGACCCTTTGGTGATGGAATTCAAGACTTTGCTTCCATAGACATGAATGTCAAATGGCCCATATGTTTCCTGAAGAAGATAAAAAAAATAAGCATATACATTTTTCAACACATTCATAAATCTTCCCATAAAAAAACGTCATTGGGTGCTGATATTCTTGAGTAAACCTAAGAGCAGCCATAACTTTGTCAGGTTTTATCCCTCAAACTAAAATTCTACTTAATATGTAGAGGGGCTGATCTTTCACTTCAAATTTCCCTTAAATCTCGTTTTTAAGGAATTTCATTTTCAAGATAGATCTGTTTTTGCTTCTTTATAATATTTAGTGAGAAAGTGTAACAATATATAAAAATGTTAAAACAAGAAGATAAAAGGAAAAATTTTACCAGCTGGAATATCCACCCATTTGATAAGTTGCTCTAGCTTAATAGTCTTTTGCACTACATACTTCAGCTCTTAATCTAATTTGATGAGTTTCCAGGACAACCCTTGCAAAGAATTCTACAATCCTAAATAAGAATACAGAAAAGCAGCACCCCAGAGACATCTAGGGACCAAAAGCTACAACTTCTGTCACCATGTGTGATAGGGAATTGGTGCTGCCAGGTGAAAGAAGTTCATTTGAAACATATTCTAAGATATAACGAGGTGCTCAAATATTTTTAAGTTCTTTTATGAACAAGTTACCACATGACGAGAGAACAATGCCAATAGCCGAAATAATCTCTCAAGAGGATAACAACATAAGTATGAAGTTGATAAAGTCAAAAAGCTTAATACCAGAGCTGATCATATTACAAAATTAGTCACTCACTGAACAGTAAACGTATAAAGTTTCACTTTGTTATTTTCTTTATACCTTTAGTACGTGTGCGTTTTTTATATATATATATATATATATATATATAAAGAAATATAGTTTTAAGATGTGCTATATTTATGGGATAAAGTGCTCAATATCAGAGATTGAGCATGTGAAATATAAAAGTGAACATAGAAGTCAACACTTAGAGGCGACAGTCTGTTTCTGTTGAACAGCACTCGTCTCCTGTCGTCTCTATGTGTTGACTTCTATGTTCACTTATGTGTAGCAGGCAACTTGTATTTTAGGATACCTGTCTATGCTCAGGCACATTTGTGTTTCCTTAACACGCACAGAGCCCACCTATGGAGTTTATAATGCAACTATGCTGCGCAGACCTTAGTTACTATCTAGCGTGATCAACAATCTGAACAAGGCCAGCACGCTCAAGCCCTCATCCACGATGGCTTGTGACCATGCTAGCAAAGCTATCAACAGACCCAATTTCACTCAAGGTTTGGGTTAACCCGTGGTATGATTTTCAGGCACTTCCCAAAAGGTACCACACGCTGGGATCCAGTTTGATAACATCAGGAGATCTCCTTCCTGATTAGTCAAGATTCAAATCCAGCTCTCATGGTCAGAATGCAAACATTCTAAATACTCAGCCGCATGCCTCATATAATTTTTGTGTGTGTGTGTGTGAGAGATATAATAGGACAGGATAAAGAACAAATAGGAAACTTCTATCAATCTATAAGATTTTACATTTATTAAAAGCTTCAGAGAACGAGATGGAGAAAAGAAAGATATTCACATGTTTTGACTTCTTAAAAAATGACAGCATAATTTAGGGGCATTCCAAATTCAAGGAGAAATGTTGTGTCCTTTCAAAGCTCCCTCAAAAATAACAGATTCCAAGCCTAACTCCAAAAACAAATATATATTGTATATAAGTGTATCATAATTCTAGTTTGTGGGATTCGGATGATCGTGTGTGTGTGGTTTGGTTTGTTTAACGGCATATCAACCTCAATGGGTCATTTAATGCCAACAACTTTTTTTTTTTCCTGGTAATTTTTTTGCTTTGTCAAAAATCTATTTCTGTTAATATTTTTTCTCAAAAATGTACAGCTGGCAACATTATTTTCCCAAAAACATTATTAGAGGCCTTGCTGTTGGACGTAGTTTATCGTCATACCCAGGGCGCGTGCGCGTGTGTGTGTGTGTGTGTCTGGTACGTATTATTTATGCTTGGTGATTGACTGCATATTGATTTGGGGACAATTTTACATAAACACCAGTTGTGGTAAATAACATTAGAATCTTTAAGAATGGATTTAATAAAGAGAGTTGGTGATGTAATATAGTAGTTTTGATGTATGTTTATAGTTCCTTATTTACATTATTTGGACTACTGTCCTCATCTTTGTCGCCATATTTATTACAACGTTTCGGCTGTTGTACGCTCTGGCCTTCTTCAGGTGGTTGGAATGTCGAACCGAACCCTTTAAATCACTCACTGGGGCAGACTGTTCTAGTTCTATGTGCCATGTCTAATGGATGTCAGTTATCAGTTATCTTCTGTTAATTACCCTCTCCAAGTTCTGCACTGCCTTAACCAGGTATTGAACTCACACTCTTTGGGTCTGTCACTGGATCTAACTAATGCCTTTATCCACCTGAAGAAGGCCAGAGCATACAACGGCCGAAATGTTGTAATAAATATGGCGACAAAGATGAGTAGTCCAAATAATGTAAATAGGGTACATAATACCTCATCTCAGAAATATAGACAGGTGTTTATAGTGGGCAAAAATTTTTATTCATATTTTATTCTCTGATGAAGTGAAACATGTTAGATTTATAAACGTTTCCTATTTGTTCTTTATCCTATCATTGTGTCATACTTGGATACGATATTTGATCTCAATTATTAATATTGCATTTTTGAGAGAAAAAAAAAAATTTTTTTTAAAATACTTATTATAAATTGAATGGATTTATATTTATATATATATATATATATATATATATATATATATATATATATATATATATATATATATGTAAGCAAGTATATGGATATAGATCCGACAGCATGAAGAAAATATATGGAAAAAACAAACAAAAATCCTAATATGCAATTATGCTGTTTTAATGATAATATAATGTCAATGTCGGACAATGTTAATTGTGTTTTATGAATGTTCTGAAGATGGTCTACTAGACCGAAATGTCCGACGTTGACATTATATTAACATTAAAACAGCATAATTGCATATTAAGATTTTTGTTTGCTTTTTCCATATATATATATATATATATATATATATATAGTTTGTGTGTTGGGTTGATATTTTTTAATTTTATTTTTGAGGTGGGTGATATAATAATTTGAGAAGAATGCCTAACTATGGGCTCACCCTTAGGACCTGACTGATAGCAGATACTGGAGTTTAGAAATCATTTTTTTTTTCCTGAAAATTTGTTTTAAGAGGAAGATTTTATAAATTCTGACCAAGGGTAGTACTGGTTGCTTGGTCAATGGATGCCAAATGTTCCTGATAAGGAAACAGTTAATATTACTATTAGTGATGTGGAGAACAGATAGTACACTTTGATCCCAGCCCAACAGCCAAGGTGTGAAGAGAAGCTTTGAGTAGCCTTAGATGCTCAGTCAATGGATGCTGAATGTTTCATTATAAGGAAACAGCTAATATTACTATTAACCATTTTTGCATCTTCTAAAGTCAAGACTTACCTCTTCTTGTAATTTTGGTAAAATCCTGGCTTCCCAATCAGCTATTCTTTTGGACAATTCTGTGATTTGGGCATATTTTTGAGCTCCCACATAGAATGCCTCCTGGAGAAAAAGAAAGAAAGGAATTAATAGTTAAAATTAAATACAACAGACTTTCTGAAAGCGCTTCCAGGAGAGAGAGAAAATAAAATTGTTTGGCAGCAGCCTAACTCAAAAATGGAAAAGGAACATTAAATTCATTTTTTTTTTTTTTGGTTAAGAATGCACGGTAGAGTAGCCCAGATTGAGGAATCGGAGACATATTTGAATTCCAGTCAAGTTCATTACATCCACTTACATGCTATTGCTTTTGCAAATGGTATGACTCCAACTCCCCCCAGCTATGGATAAATAGTAGAACTGACTGGGTTCTATAACCTTGGGTGGCAACCAATCTAAGAGAAAGAAAACACTAAATACAAAACAGTATGTAGCTAAGGAAAGGATTGTTTGCATTGACTTGATGATCTTGATTATGGTCATACCCTGTTTTTTTTTTGTTTTTTTGAGAAAGAACAGTTTTAGAAAACACTTAAATTTTTTTCTTCTTCTTTCCGTTTCTAGGCAAGAAAATTAAGTATTGTGACAGTTTGTGCTGAAGCATGACATTATGGAAACGTGAGCATTTCAAAGCTTTGCCTTAAGGAAAATTTGAGTCCGTTTTTAACCCTTAATGTTTCGTCGTCCGTATTGTACTGTTCACTGCTTAATAAATTCAGTTTTTGTTATTTCCCAAACTTGTTTGTCCCTTCCTCATGTTTCGGTGAATTTCTATATTGTGATCAGCCAATTTGGTAAATATTTTTAAAGAAATTGCAAACAGGATGAATTTTACACTTGAAAATGCTAAATTCCCCAGGGTGAGGGGCATTAGTATGAATGAACTGTAAAATTAGGGTTAGCCCACATCATCAAAATGCGGGCTATTTAATCAAGTGTTATTTTCTCTCATTCCTTAAACGCACCGAGAAATAAAAATTATTTCAGCTGCTTTGTAGTCAGGTAAGGTTGTGTGTGTGTGTGTGTGTGTGTGTGTGTGTGTGTGTGTGTGTGCTTGGGCACACACGCGTAACAGGGCAGTAGCCTTGACAGAGTCAAATTAATGCCAGAATTATCGTTTGGTCACTTGAGGTATTGAACGACTTAGTGAAGGTGTGAAGATATTAGATGGAGAAAAATATAAATACGGAAGATTGGGTAATCGATGAAAAAAAGTTTGGTTGAAAAATATTAATTTCAACTTATAAAATAAGTATGGAGAAAAGTTGTGAGGATTTGAACCCAAAAGAAACCAAGTAAGATTCAGTAAAATTCAGTAGAATTGAAATTCCCTGCTTAAACCCACAGCCCCGAGATAGTTGTGATGATATAATGCGTTTGGCAAAATTCTGCAGACTGAATTGGGAAAGGTTATTTTAAAACTCTGTCCAGCAGAATTTACATAGAAAGCTTAACAAAATGCCTGGTCTTGAGTATTTTAGAAGCATCAGTCACATGAAATGCTAATAGGAACTTTTTTGTGTAACAAAGTGTTTTTGTATAAGTGACCAATTAATCAAAGTCCCTATCCAGACTGTTACTCTTATAAACACACACATGTGCCATTTTATTCAGTTCACTCTTGGCAGCCAGAGATAAAACTGGCTTCTGTTTTTGTCAAAATCCAAGCAGCAGCAAAGTTGGTAACACTCCCACATTTCACCCCGTTAGATAGCTCTCAATGCCCCAAGAGAAGAAAAGAATTTACTGAAGCCGAACTGCATGAGCATGATGGTTGCAACTTTTATGTTTTCTCATCATTAATAAACTGTTGATAGCTTTACATTAATAAACTGTTGATAGCTTTATCATCAAAGATTGTTCTTTCTGCTAGAATTTCCCACCTTTCAGGAAGGTCATTTGAATTAAGAAAGTTGTTAGGATTGAAACACTGCTTGAACCACAAACCAAAATTCACAGCCTGTTGGAATTAATAAGAACACATGTTCATCCCAGCAGGGACACAATGCAAAGGAAGATTTCCACTTGACAACACAGGTTCGGTGAAGGAGACAAATGACAGAAATGGCCACGCCCAATCCAAGGCAAACCTCACTGAACTGTAATACTGGTGATGATCATTAGAGGCTAAAGTTTACAATAAACATATGTTGACCACAAACCACCCTGTATTATATTTGTTGCCATGGGGTGATGAGAAACCTGTGAGTGAGAGAGAGAGAGAACTACATGGAGGTGTGAGGTTTGATTTAGAAATAGCACTAAATACATGCTGTGTCCCCTCAGGACGTATGTGATCATAACCCTCCACATCTTCCTGTCCCTTGTAGCTCTTAATGTGTCTTTTTGTTATTTCTCCTAAATCCTGCTTTACCACTCATTTACTCAAGCCCATCATGCATAATATGCAGTTTTCTGCTGTCCCTCAATCTGTCCTGTGAGTATCGGATTTTCCAAGCCCTCCTTCCTCACTACATGTGCCAGAAATTTAAACTGTTTATTCCTGATGCTAAGTATAAGTTTCCTTTTTCTTTCCATTTTTTTCTAAAACTTTGTCTTTCCTCACATGTTTCATCCAGGGTATCCTCAGCGTTTTTCTGAATAATGACATTTCTGTTGCTTCAAGTCGCTTCTTCATCTTTGAGGAGATTGCCATGCAGGAGGACAGATTATGTAACAGTTCAGAACTCTTTTCTTTGTTTCTGACTAAGTTTTTCTGTCTCTTAATACTCTGCTTAGCTTTTGGAATGCATCTTTGGCGATCCCAATACATCTTGGAATTGCAGCATCGCACTTTCCATCCTCGGTTAGAACACTTCCAGATACTAAAATCAAATGAGTACAAAAATTTAAATATCAAAATTGCATTTTGGGCTCAACATTTTGCTTATAATCCTGCATTGTCTTCTTGTAATTTATACTTAGTCCTTTCTTCTAGCTTTCCTTTGCTACCTTCTGTAAGAGATTTTGTAGACTAGTTAGTTTATAAGACAAATGCTAAGGAGTGACATTTCATAGTATCATGAAAACGTATATACTCACATACATATAATTTTGATTTAATTTCAATGTATTTCACTAGCTGTCACTTATAATTCTGCCCACCTATCACTGCACATTGTGCTGACACCTTGATTCTTTTTTTTTGCTTTCTTTCCATCACTCCTCCCTTCAATAATGTAAATCCCCAGGAAAATTTTCTGTGTTAAGTATTTTAGACATTTACTTCCTTTTCTCTTGTGATTTAATTTTAAAATAATTTTTAATAAATTGTCTGGATAAATTTTAACCATTTTGTAATTTCAGTCCAATGAGGCAGATATTAAAAAATTATCTGTTGAAATAAATTTATTACAGAATTCTTTGATGATGTGTTAAGTTTTTTCCTTCTTGGTGTGTGTGTGTGTGTGTGTATATATATATATATATATATATATATATATATATATATATATATAAAAAAACCCCATAAATCAAACCCTACCCACATAAGACAGACATGTTTGTGGAGGTGTTGAGGTCTCACAATTATATACATACCCCAGAAGAACTAAATGATAACATACACTTAACACAAATACATCTCCTTCCTAGGAACTAATGAAACTGTCAAAATGACCAAGAGAGTCACATGAATCTATCCAGACCATCTTAAAAACAACTTAAAACAGATCATTTGACCAACACAAGGGCTGACCAAAATTAATGCAAAAAAAAAAAAAAAAAAAAAAAAAAAACTGCAGATAAAGTTCATTTTCTTCAGAAAGTCATTAATTCCTGTAATTCACTGCTACTAACAAGCAGGAATTTTTTTTCTTCTCCTAATGATGGCCATGCTGGTGGAAACTAGTTGAGGAAACTAATTGAAATAATAAAACAAAAATAACACTAATATACAACCCAGTGTATCTGGAAATTTTAATTTTTCAATATTTTTTTTGTTCAAAACACACACACTCACATATGTCTCGGCAGGAGGCAATGTAGGCTTCGTAAAGACATTCACACAGCAGAGGAAGTGTTAACCATATTTTGCCTCTAAATTTGGTCTTCAAATTTAATACATAAAATCAAATAAAATAATTTTGAAATTAATTTTTTTAATACATTATTTCTTATGACTATAAATGCCATTTTTAGTGGGAATGCATGTTTGTTTGAGTTAACACCCTTGTTTTTTTTAAACAGTGAAATATCAATGGACTTAGAAGTTGTGAAGTTAGGAAGGACTTTTCAATTTCTAGCCCAGTACACCTAGTAAAAATAACATTTATAGTAATAAGCAATAAAATTATATATTTTCTGGTGTGTATTGAAATGTCAAATTCAAATCAGTTTTTCTGTAAATAAAAAATATTTCTTATCATAAAGCAAAAATAGAAATACTCACAATGTGTTTTTGTACTAATTGTTCATAAGTACTGGCCGGTTCATCATTTGAAGGACAATCTACAAGAGAGAAAAACAAATTAGGTATGAAATGTGAGTAATAATGCTATACTGTCTTGCCTGGTGTCTGAGAGGGTTGTGGACTTATCAACAGTGGTTCAAGAGATCATTTTCCTTTCATTTATATATAAGAATACGTCACTATATATATATATATATATATATATATATATAAGAATATGTCACACACACGTGTTACACACACACGTCACACACACATATATATATAGCACACACACGTCTCACACACATATATGTCACACACACACACGCATGCATGTCACACGCACACGCATGCATGTCACACGCACACGCATGCATGTCACACGCACACACATATGCATGTCACACGCACACACACACACATATGACATTTTTTTTCCCCTAAAAATATCTCCCCAAACAACCCCGTGTCCTATAAATCAAAAGTCAGGTACAAATTATAAATTTGAGGTGTGGAGTGAGCTACTCAGTTACACCCACTTCTGAGCTCCTGAAAATAAAACAAGTCCAGTGCTCCAAACAAAATTAACACCTTTTTGAGAGAAGCTATTTATGCTGTTGGGATACTGGAATATTGACAGGAAATTAAATTCCTGCTACAGTAACACCTTCCCTCCTTATTTCTTAAACTTGAGTAGTGAGTTCGATCCTCACTTGGTGCCTCATACTTTTGGCCTTGTGCCACATCTAAGCTATGCTTGGAAAATCATTACAGTAGCAGTCAACAACTATTTTTGTCGTTGCAGACAATGATGCATCAATATATGCTCAGAGATCCCCACTATATAGCAGTGGTTCCGAAACTTTATCTTGGGGCCACATTTTCAGAGTTAAAATTTGCTCACGTCTCATTTTATATGATAAAAAGTACATTTGAAGGTTTGGTTTGTTTTATAGCATATCAACCTCAATGGGTTATTTAATGCTGACAAAATTTTTATTGCTGGTAATATGTTTTTCTTCAAAAATCTTCTTCTGGGAATCTATAGATGGTCATATATTTTTCAAAGAATGTATAGCTGTTTGCATTGCTGTTATTTTTTTTAAAGTATGGCTGAATAATTTTTCCTTCAAAAATTATTGCTGGTAATAATTTTTTTTATTACAAAGTATTTCTGGTATTAAAACCTATTTTTACACAAGTTTGGGTGTTAACTATTTGGCCATAGCTGGAACCCTAACAGGTGCTACCACCCCAGGTCAGGGTAGACCTGGGAACACCAGCAATTAAGAGGTGGTTCCACACTCCACAAGACCTCCTGATCAGAGACCTTGCTGCCCGATGTAGTTTATCGTCTTACCCTGGATGTAGATGTAGTTTATCAGCATACCCAGGATGGTACATTAAAAAAACAAAAAACAAACAGAGATAGGCTTAAAGAGCAGATTTGAAGTCAGGACATTATCATTGATAACTCTCTCCACCAATTTGCAGACCCTAGTTACTAAATTCTTTATACTTAATATAATGCAAAAATATCACAATGATAAAAAAACTGTTCACTATTTATATTATTTGGACTATTGTTGTCTTCTTTGTTGCCATATTTATCACAATGTTTCGGCTGTTGTACACATTGGCCTTCTTCAGGTGGTTAGAATGCCGAACTGAACCCTTTATTTTGCTCGTTGGGGTAGACTGTTCTAGTTCCACATGCCATGTCTAATGGATGTCAGTTATCTCCTGTTAATTCCCCTCTCCAAGTTCTCAACTGCCTTAACCAGGTATTGAACTCACACTCTTTGGGATCCTGTCACTGGATCTAATACCTTTATCCACTGTGCGATGTGTCCTTGAGGAAACATTGTGATAAATATGGCAACAAAGATGAGGACAATAGTCTGAATAATGTAAATAGTGTGCGTAACACCTCATCTCAGAAAGATAGTTTGTTGTTTTAAAACTTAACGACCCATCGATCAGCAAGAGATCATCACAGAAAGATAGATACTGAAACATTGTTCAATAATTAACTATAACTATTTATATTGGGACTCATGCATGCAATCACAAGTAATCCATAATAATAATTTAAATTTTGAAATGTTTTCTAATCTTTGTCTTTCAATCATTCCACCTCAGCTGATATCCTCTTCCATCAGTTTGCGAATTACTACTATATAGAGTTGCGCACACACAAGAATCACGAATTTGTCGTTATTAGTCAGGTTTTCATGCTGAAATATGTTATTTAGTGGGTAAAATTGGGGATAATGAGGAGAGCTATGAATTGCAAGGGTAAGGCATTGGAGTATCTCATAAGCAGTAAAATACAGTATTGTACTGACAGATACATGTCACCACCCCACGGCTTATGCAGTACATAATTTTTTTTTTTTCCTTTAAAGAAAACAAAAAATAAACAAGCAACCCAAGAACAAGGGAGTGAAATGGCCATTTTAACCATAATGCACAATTAATAAATACAGTACTGTACTGACAAATCAAGCCCTATCCACATTTATGAATCAAATAAAGTAATTTTGAAATTAATTTTTTAACACCCTATTTCTTATGACTAGAAATGCCATTTTTAGTGGGAACGCGTGTTTGTTCGAGTTAACACCCTTGTTTTTTTTAAACTGTGAAATATCAACTGACTTAGAAATTGTGAAGGACTTTTCATGAGGAACCATAGAGAAAAAAAACAAAAACACACGGTTGGTAACTGTACTTACCAAGAGTTTGTGGCTCTAGATCAACATTAAAGAGTTCATCTTGCCAGTTGAGTACTGGACCAACATCATCATCGTTGTCGTCATCCCCACATTCATTTACATCTTCAGGTTAGAAAAGAAAAGAGTGTAAGAAAACGGATTGAATTTGATTATTGAAAGCAGCAAAATGAATATCTGTCACTTTAACATAATTTAAAAAGAACGACATCAATGGCACAATGACCACTGTATGATGGTCAAAATGATAAAACCACTTACCAGCAACAATGTCAGCACTTTCGTCCTGATTGTGCTCACCTTGCAGAATTTGTTGTTCCAAAATTGTTTCCTAGAGAGAAAAAAAGAGTGAAAGAGAATTTTTTTTTTTTTTTTCAAAATAAGCATATTAGAAATTTCAAATGTACCATCAGATCTACTATTGTGGAATATATGAATACAATTCTACTAATTGTCTGTACCACATTGTAATTAGGTCCATTTTGTGGCACTACGAGTAAAGTATTTGTTTTCACATATCTGATAATTAGTAACATCAGGGCTGTAGAGTCAAGATATTAAACCTTGGACTGATTCTTTTATCAATAGCAAATGTTTTTTTTTTCCTTAGAAACATAAATATTTTTTATGCAATTTTATTCTATTTATTTACTGTAGTGGTACAAGTCTTACTAATTAACCCATAGCTGGGGAGAGAAGAGTTGGATTCATACTTTTCCCAAGGGTATTTGTGTGTAAGTGAATATAAGGAGCTCAACTGGAATTGCTAAGCAGTCACCCATCTAGGTACTGACTAGCCCCTACATTGCTTAACTTTGACAATTATACAGGAACCAGGATTTTAATGTGATGTAGCTGTAAGTCCAGTAGTAAACGTAGACAAGTACAGCATCTGGATCCTGATTTACTGAATGTAAATTTTAATAAACAACTTTAATATTTATTTACTTTATATATGATTGATTAAATATATCAGGTCATCCCATAAGTTCTGTCCGAATTTAGAATAAAGAAAACAAGTGACCAAATGTTACATTTAATTACAGATTCAATCAACAATGTATTTTCCCTGATTATCTATGACTTCCTTCCATCTATTAACAAGCTTACTAATTCCATTACTGTAAAATTCTTTTGGCTTTGATTCGAAGAATTCACAAATGTCAGTTTTAACCTCTTCCTGTGTTACAAAAGCTGTTTCTTCCAAATGATTCTGTAAGCTACGAAACAAATGGTAGCCTGAAGAAGCAAGATCAGGAGAATAAGGTGGATGAGGAATTTTCTCCCAACCAAGTTCTTCGATCTTTTGTGATGTGATTCTTGCTGTGTCAGGTCGCGCATTGTCCTGATGAAACATCACCTCTTTTCAATTCACTAGAGCAGGTCTTTTTTTTACCTCAAAGCTTGGTTCAAATGCTCTAATTGCTGACAGTATATTTGAGCATTAATTGTTGCATTAGGTGGTAAGAATTCAAAGTGGATTATTCCTTGGCGATCCCACTAGATTGAAAGAAGAACCTTTTGCCCATGAAGTTCCCTTCTCGGCTGTGGCTGAGGTCCTTCTCCTTTACCAAGCCACTGTCTACGATGCTTAACAATTCGATAAAAGATCCATTTTTCGCCACAAGTCTATCCAAAAAAGGTGAAACAAGTTGGCGAGAATGGAGAGAAGAGCAGATGTCAACTCGGGATTTGAGATTGTTTTCAGACAATTCATGAGGCATCCATTTTCCAAGTTTAGGAACTTTTCCAAGTTGTTGAAGATGACGATGAACAGTTGTATGGTTTGAGCCGAGAACCACTGCCAATTCTTCAACTGCTAAAGCAGGATTTTCTTCAAGGGCTGCTTCAAGAAGCTTTTCATCAAACTCAACTGGATGTCCGGTTCAATCTTCATCTTCAAGGGTGAAAACTCCACCTCTGAATTTTGCAAACCATCTTCTGCAAGTTCTTTCATTCACACATTCCTCTCCATAAACTGAGTGAATGTTTTTAGCTGCTTCGGCTGCTGAGTTTCCTTTCTTGAACTCATAAAGCATTATGTGCCTCAAATGATTCTTGGGTACTTCCATGTTAGCAGGGTTTTAATCAAACAAAATTTAATTTTATTGTTCTCTGAAATAAAATTTGATCAGTTTAAATGCATCTAAACATAAAAATAATGTTCAGCTCCATTAGACATTATAAAATACTCTTTAAATTTCGTTCATTTTAACAAAAAGTTAAAATTCGGACAGAACTTATAGGATGACCTGATAGTAAACTGTAAATTTAAAATTCTGTTCATTAGAGGAAGAGGAAGGAATGAAGCCATCACTTTAGTATAACCCTTCCTAACTAGTATGTATAAATGAATGCCAGATCAGGGAGTGGAAAGGACAGTAAAGGAAAAATAATCCCCAAACATTTTTAAGAGCTACAAAGGATAGGAAGTTGTGGGGAGCCATGATCGTTCACATCCTGAAGGGAAAAAATAAAAAATAAAAAAAAAAAAAAAAAAAAAAAAAGAAAAGAAAAAAGAAAAGAAAAAAGAAAAAAAAAGAGAAAAGAAAAAAAAAAAAAAAAAAAAAAAAGAAAAAAAGAAAAAAAAGAAAAAAGAAAAAAAAAAAAAAAAAAAAAAAAAGAAAAAAAAAGAAAAAAAAAAGAAAAAAAAAAGAAAAAAAAAAAGAAAGAAAAAAAAAGAAAAAGTTATACATTTTCTTATTGTTGGCCACTGCCTTTACAATTACTCCACAATTTCCAGGCTTAGCTTTAGTCAGATTCCTAGCAGTAGAAGAAGGGTGTGGACCCCACCACCCATAAAATTTGCACAGGCAGATTTCAATCTGTACTTTTCTGTATCAAATACAAGTGCCGGACCAATTATTTTCCTTCAAGTCTATGATTAACCTATATCTTTCTTGCATAATTCCATGAACTTCACTTGCCTTTTCTTATGCTCATATAACACCACACAATAGCCCTCTACACTGAGTGGCACTTTAGGCCTTGGAAGATCACAAAAAAAAAAAAAAAAAAAAAAAAAGTCACTATCAGAATAGGTTTGCCTGATTAGAGATCATTTGCTACATTTTTCTCTCTGGTTTTCACTCAAACCCAAGAATAAAATATACAACCAAATAAGTTCGTAGGAAGCCATACTTTGAGGGATAAATAATGATGCTATGAATTTATATGAATAAAAGATTTTATTAAAAAACAAAAAAAAAACAAACTAACTTACCATTGCCTTAATTTCGATTCTCTGCTTTGATTGGCGTTCAGATAGCTTTGACCAACATAATTTTTCAAACTCTGGTAGACAGGATTCCTGCAACACTTTAGGAATTTTCTGTTTGTATGAGAACACTGAAGAACAAAAGAGGAACATGTTGAAGAAGAGGGCAAAAGGATTCTGAAAAGTTCTCGGCCTGACTAAGAATGGATTAAAAAAAGTTTAATCAGCAAGTGGATTGGGTTGAGAACTTTTCAGCACTTCTACATAGGTGTCATATAACAAACACACATTTCATGACTTTTGGTTTGATTTCAGAATTAAAAGGATGGAAAAAAATAATGCAAATTCTTAATGGCTAAAAATCAGTCATTTTTAGCAATTTCTAAAAAATGGAAATAATTCCAATCAATTTAAATTATCTTTTAAATACAGCAATGTATTTGTCTTAATGGGAATATTAAATTTAATCTATTAGCTTGGAATTAAAATTAAATGTTTTTTTATATGAAGAAAGATTCTTCATTTTTAAAGATCCATGTAAACCTCTTATAATGCAGAACCGACCTCCTCATTCAGTTTTTATGTGTGTGTTGTATGTGATACTTCATTCTTGCTAGTGACCTGCATACAAGTCCACGTACTGTGTAACAGCAAGGATCTCTGGACACAGCCCCAGGAACATTTGCTGGCACCACCCACCCCCACATTGTCTTTCATCTCTTAACCAGTTATTGCGACCAATTTCAAAATTTCTAATACCTCTGGCACAAATATTCCTAGCTATTTCTATCCAGTACAACTTGTTAGAAGTTACTATGAGGCACATTGACAGCTGAGAAGTTACTCTTTAGCTTCTCTTTATACCAGAGTCACGGCCGTTCAACATTTCTTTGCCCACCCTCAAGCTGGCTATACATGAAGACCCCTTAGATATTGTCATCCTTACAACATGACCAGTCCAGCAAAGCTGTGACTGCTTCAGCAAAGTCTCAATTCCAACAATGTTACATTTTGCGAGAAGATCAACACTGGACACCCTATTGACAGAAGTATGGCCACAAATCATGTGGAAACTGCTTTTGTGGATTCGGTTTTGTTTTGTTTTACGGCATATCAACCTCAATGGCTTATTTAATGCCGACAAAATTTTTATTGCTGGTAATGTATTTTTTCTTAAAAATGTATAGCTGGTAATATTATTTTAAAAAAAAATGTATAGCTGGTAATGTTATTTTAAAAAAATGTATAGCTGGTAATGTTATTTTAAAAAATGTATAGCTGGTAATGTTATTTTAAAAAAATGTATAGCTGGTAATGTTATTTTAAAAAATGTATAGCTGGTAATGTTATTTTAAAAAATGTATAGCTGGTAATATTTTGTTTTCAAAATTACATTGCTGGTAATATTATTTTTTTTTTCCCCCCTTTAAAAGTTTATCTGTGGTAATAATTTTTTTACAAAGTATTTCTGGTATTAAAACCTATTTTTACACTTTCATATTGCTTTTTACCTATAGCTGGGATCCTAACAGTTGCTAAAACCCTGGGTCAGGGTGGGCCTGGGAATGTCAGCAATTAAGAGGTGGTTCCACGCTCCTCAAACCTCCTGATCAGAGGCCTTGCTGTTGGACGTAGTTTATAGTCGTACCCAGGACGTACTACTTTTGTGGAAGTCATCCAGCTGATTGATATGGGACCCTATATGGGGTCCACAATTCTGAGTCATACAACAGTGTGGTCAAAATGATAAAACTGTATTTCAGTGTCCAATTTGATAACTCTTTCATTTCATGGTGGTGAAACTTCCCAAGTGCACTTGAAGCATTGTTGATCCAATTTGTTATGCCTTCATTAATGGATACATTTGTATTCATATCCAAATAAGTTTGATTAAAAACGACTAACAAAGTATGTCTGTTTTTCAGATAAGCTGTTGAGTTTTGTGCTCAAAGTTGTGGATAAACCCTCTGAAGTTCATACTTTTTTGTTTTTGTTCAAGTACTTTCGACATTACCAGTCATTATCAAGAATTGATTTAGTATCGGTGTCATACTTAGAATTCCTTTGCATTCTGGTTTTCTTTGGGAAGCTGGATGTTTGAAATGGTCTCGTATGGCATTGTGTGTAACAGCCTTTTGGGAACAAGACTACACAAAAAGATGGCAATTTTTTTTTTTTTTTTAAATTAAATTTTTATGTTATTTATTATTTCTGAATTATAGTACATTTTTTAATTTTTAATTAATATTTTTATTAAAGCTTGATAAAAAATTTGAACTTGGTTGTAATTCATTTAATAAAGGTTTTTCTTAATGAATATATAATTTAATTAAGATTTGTTGATTATCTGGAAAAATCTTAGGATTTCACTTATTTTTGTGCAGTGCTGTATATTCAAACATTATTTTTTAGTGGATATCCATATTTGAGTAGATGCTCAGTTTTTTAAAAATTTTAAATAGTATTTATTTCATCTATGGGTCTGCAAACTAGAGATTAACTTATTAAAGAAAATGTGCCCTCCCCTTTTGTAAGAGAAACCACCATCTGATCCAGTGTCATTTAACTGCTCAGCTACAGAGAGCTTCACAATCAGGCATGGTTCTTTAGAGCACATTCACTCATACAGATTTCTTGAAAGGCATATCTTGTTAGTTTTGTATCGGAAATGTACACAAAGCAATTTTAAAAGCATCAATGGATTTTATTTTTAATCCAACATTTTTATAACTTCAAATATTAGTGTATAAATGTATTTAAGTACATGGCCTGTTTATTAAAAATTCTATTAATAAAACTATAGAAACGAAGACTTTAAAAAATCATAGTGATATTTATTTCATTAGAATAGAAATTTCGATACCAATTCATCAGGCTGAACATTACACAAATAAATGAATAAAGATTTTACTAGGCTTAAAAAATAATCTTAACATAAATTATGTTTAAATATGCAGATTCAAAATTGGGGGAGGGGAGAGAATGAAAGGGTATGTAGAGAAGTGGGGAAGAGGAAGAAGAGGTATTCAAAGCTTAGAAGGGGAGAGAAAGAGGACAGAGGAGGGGAGAGAAAGAGGACAGAGGAGGGGAGAGAAAGAGGACAGAGGAGGGGGAGAGAAAGAGGACAGAGGAGGGGAGAGAAAGAGGACAGAGGAGGGGAGAGAAAGAGGACAGAGGAGGGGAGAGAAAGAGGACAGAGGAGGGGAGAGAAAGAGGACAGAGGAGGGGAGAGAAAGAGGACAGAGGAGGGGAGAGAAAGAGGACAGAGGAGGGGAGAGAAAGAGGACAGAGGAGGGGAGAGAAAGAGGACTCGAGATGGCAGTTTACTGCATACAATAGGTTTTCTGTTTGTTGCATAGTCATTGATGATTATGACACTTGTATTTCTAAAAATAATACAATTAATAATAATAATAATAATGCAAAGAATTTTTGAGAAATATATACTATTTTTCATCAAAAAAATTTATGTAAAAATAGGGTGTTATTTAGAATTAATAAAAACAAGGATAAAAATGTGCGTAATAATAAGGATGATTATAATAAAAAATATAAAGATTAAATAAACAAGTTACAAAGAAAACTATGCAATTATATACATACAAAAAACTTAATCTACATATATCTAAAAACATATAAACAGACAAATATAAATACCATACATAAATGGCAAAATTATATATTTCTTCTATTTCTAATAACATATATTGTGATAATATATACATATATATATATATATATATATATATTAAGGTCACTTAGCTTGATGTTTAATAAAAAGTGCACCCTGACGCCAGAGTTTCATAGATGGACCCTCTGGGAATTGCTTTGTCCACTCATCAGTGTGTGTGTGTACACACACACACAGTGCTGTTCAATAAAAGTGACTCACCTGATTTTTTTTTTTTTTTGCTTAAAATTTTTTTCGCCTATTGTTTTTGGGGTCAAACTAATTTTTAATCTTACTAATATAAAGACCCCTTCCCGACCACCTAGTAAAAAAAGTTTACTCACCCTAAGGTATTCTATTGATAATTATAATTTTGGATATAAATGAGATTTAGGGAAAAACTATGCAAAAAAAAAAAAAAAAAAAAAAAAAAAAGTGACTCACTTACTTCCTGCAACTAGTAATCAATAGAAATATAACCAAACAGCTTTAACTAAAGAATAATAGAGGTATAATTTATTTATAATAGGTAATATAGTTTGAAATATTTAATAATCTATGGGTCCTCCTTTATTTTGAATAACCTTTTCAACCCTTTTTGGAATCGACTTGATTAGGTTCTGGTAAATCTCATCTCCAAGCATTGACTTCCATTCGGATATGAAATTCACCATCAAATCCTCTTTGTTGCTCAACTGCTTTCTTGAGAGCCTGTTCTTTATAATGCTCCATAAGTTTTCTATGGGGTTGAGGTCAGGAGATTGGGGTGGCCATGTCATAACACTCACTTGATTCTCATCAAAGTATTCCTTCATCAAATTTGATTTGTGACAGGGAGCATTATCCTGCATAAAAATGAGGTTGGTGGGGTCGATTTGCACCCTTTCAGCAGAAGGGAGCAGACAAGACTCTAAAATTCTCTTGTACTGCTCACTCATGAGGGTCTTTTCAATAGGTTTTAAGAAACCAGTTCCATGAAAAGAAAAGCATTCCCAGAACATTATACTGAACAGATGCTTGGCAGTACTTACTGCTAAATTCAGGGCTTTCAAAGCAGCTCCTTCGGATTTTAGATTGCTTATCCTTGAATTTAGCTCAACTTTTGTTTCATCGGAGATAAGAATATTCTTTCAGTCTTCTACGGTGAAATTTTTGTAATAGTGAGCCCATTCAAGTCTCTTGGCTTTGCTTATTAGCGGCTTAAACCTTTGTGTACAAAATTTGTAGCCTTGTTCTACCAGCCACCGACGGACTGCTGAAGGGGCAAGACTAACACCTTGCACTTTGCTTAGACTGGCTGCAATTTCTTGGCTAGTTATAGTCCTATTCTTTGCAACTTCTCTCTTGATTACCCTATCATCAATCTTTTTCTGACGTCCCCTCGTTTCCTTCCTTGGAGCAGGAGTGGCATCATTATGTGCCCTAAGCACTTGAGAGTTGATTGCAAAGTAATAGCAATTTCTCTTGTAGACTTGCCTGCTTTTGAGAGGGCAATAATAGATGCCATAAGTGGTTCTGAGTGGCTATTTCAAGCTGTTTTTATACTGTATGAGGCTTTCTGGAATAATCTAGATTTAATTTAAGCTATTCTAGAATTTGCTAGAATATTGCTCTGAGTGTATTGTAAAATAGTTTTCAATATTTTGTCAAAAGCTCTTTAAACTTACCAGTTTAATCATTAGAATGTGATATCGAAGTCACTTATCTTTGCAAAGTGTTTTTTGTTGAATCTCATTTATATCCAAATTTATAATTATCAATAGAATACCTTAGGGTGAATAAACTTTTTTCCTAAGTGGTCGGGAAGGGCTCTTTATATTAGTAAGATTAAAAATTATTTTAACCCCAAAAACAATAGACAAAAAATATATTTAGTAAAAAAAATCAGGTGAGTCACTTTTATTGAACAACACTGTATATATTTATTTATTAGAAGAAATTGTGTATTTATGTTAACTTTTAAATAATTTAAATAATGTCATTATTTGGATCATTTTAATTTTTCAGATTCTTAATTTCTTTATATGAATTTTGAATTCCAGTTGAATCCATTACATTTACTTATGTACTAATACCCTTGGGAAAGGGATGGCAACTGATCTACCGCAGAAAGAAATGGCAACCTGCCTAGTCAATCGTGTATCAAAAGATACATGATTGTCTAAGTGTGTAGCACATAACTGACTGAGCGTCTTCATGATTTTGCTTTTGTTCCTTGTCAAGATCTAAATATTTATTCAGCTTTTTTATTTTTTATTTTTTTTAAATGCTTTTTTAACCCCCATCTTGTAGGGACAGAAAAAGATAATCAGTAATTTTCAGATAGAAATTTAATTCTAACTTTCGAGCTAACCTTACCGTATGGAACATACAACTGTATATCATTTTGTTTTGCAAAACTCTTGATGTGTATGTACACTCACCCAAAATGTATAGTTTTTATTTTGAGAATATTCAGGAAACAGACCATGAAGTGCAATTGATGGAACGAGGAAGAAGAGTCAAAAAACATCAGATAACAAAGCTTCTCCAGATCCTTTTAACTTACGTGTGTTTGCAATGAATTCTCCGACCAAAGCCATATCTTTCTGCTTGGGTTCTTCTGGTGACCATTTTCGCTTTTTACTTTTCTTTTCATTAAGAACGTCTGGAATTCTGAAAGTCTTGCCTGAAATTGTCACAAAGAAGTTTACAGTTAAAAAAAAAAAAAAAAAAAAAAAAAAAAAAAAAAAAAAACCACCTTTGAAAATAACTTTTTTAAAAACTGACTTAAATCAAAGTTGGAGAGCTTTAGTTTTTGGCTTAAAAATGGTAAATACTACTGTGTAAGCATGCACACATACATATATATTATATATATGGGCAGTGGGGCAGCAATCTTTCTTTTAAATATCTTTCGTTATATATGGTAGACAAGGAAGATTTAATTTAATTTTGCGTTTTTCTGTTTCGTGGTAGTAAGGGACATTGACTCAAGCACTTTTGGCCACTTTAACCATTTTCGCACAGAATTCAGGAAATTCCTATGGACAACCTTTGTTACAAGCAAAGAAAAAAAAAAAAATACTCACTTTTTTTGAAAACTTTTTCTGTCATCTTTTTAGGCTCAAATGGATCTTGGTGGTCCCATGGATCCAGTTTCTTAAAAGAGAAAATAATTAGACATAAAAAAAAATATGGATGGAGAAGTGAAGCGGGCTGATGCACGAGAGAAAGAGAGAGGAGAGAGAGAGAGAGAGAGAGAGAGAGAGAGAGAGAGAGAGAGAGAGAGAGGAGAGAGAGAGAGGAGAGAGAGAGAGAGAGAGAGAGAGAGAGAGAGAGAGAGAGGAGAGAGAGAGGCGAGAGAGAGAGAGAGAGAGAGAGAGGCGAGAGAGAGAGGCGAGAGAGAGAGAGGAGAGAGAGAGGAGAGAGAGAGAGAGAGGAGAGAGAAAGAGAGAGAGAGAGAAAGAAAAAGGCGAGAGAGAGAGAGGCGAGAGAGAGAGAGAGAGAGGAGAGGAGAAGAAAGAGAGAGAGAGAGAGACGAGAGAGAGAGAAAGAAAGAGAGAGAGAGAAAGAAAGGCGAGAGAGAGAGAAAGAAAGGCGAGAGAGAGAAAGAAAGAAAGAGAGAGAGAGAGAGAGAGAAAGGAGAGAGAGAGAGAGAAAGAAAAAGAGAAGAGAGAGAGAGAAAGAAAGGCGAGAGAGAGAGAAAGAAAGGCGAGAGAGAGAGAAAGAAAGGCGAGAGAGAGAGAAAGAAAGGCGAGAGAGAGAGAAAGAAAGGCGAGAGAGAGAGAAAGAAAGGCGAGAGGCTTCATATTATTTACCTGTACAACAGAAGAGAATTTTGCCTTGTCTTTCAGCATCTTTTCATGAATTCTTTCAGAACGTTTAGGAAGCTCTTCCATAGTCTCCTGTTCCAAAAAATTAATAGCAGTGATAAAAGTCAGAAAAGACAATCTAATGAGTATGATTTGTGGTGCCCCTTTGAATCTGTCATTGCAAGCATCATATGGATAAAAAAGGCTACAGCATATTTTGATAATAAAAACAATGGGTTTTAGAAGGGACTGTTTTGTTTGTATGTAACCACAAGACACAATGAAATTTTGATGTAAAGACAAAAATAACAACTAGATGGATCTGTGAGAATTATTGACAACTAGCCTAGAAGTCACCCTTTGGGCAGATTTTAGGCTACTTTCTGCAGCGGATTTTTGAGGCTTAGAACTTTTACCTTCAGAGTATTATGTACATTAAAGTTATAAGAATTTAGAAATAATCAAATTATCTTATTTTTATTTGACACCTTAATTCGGCATAATCTTTCTTCATATACACAACCAATCTCCGTAGCTTGTTTTTATTTTGAGCGCAATTTTTCTTTTCTTTTAAAATCACCAGTCTTTATGTCATAGTACTCAAGCTAGAAAAAGAAAGACAAAAAAAAAAAAACTCCATATGAGCAACATACCATGCTCTGCCTTTGGGCACCTCGGCATGGTGTAAAAGTTATTTATTTCATTTTTAATTGTGTGTAGCTACAGTAGTCACTACCTGTTACTTCAGGTTGTTTATGATTAGCCGAGATCAAAAAATGAATGGATATATACACTGCACTTTATTTATATAGATTTTAAATTGTCCATTATCTCATGTCTGTTTTTCGCTCATCCTGGCAGTATCTTCTCATTCCCCCCTTATCCCTTTCAATCTTTGTTGACTGTCCATGTTTTTTATGGAAATGAATGCCATATGCAACAAAGCAATAACTGTTTCAAAAGTTGAAAAGAAAATCATATCAGCATTGAAAGAGAAGTGGGGTGGAAAACAAAGATTTCTAAATGCTGTATAAAATAAATATATATTAATCATTTCCCCCCATGAAAAGTCACTGAGACACAAAGGGTTATGGTGTATGAAGGAATAAGAAAAGAAAGAAACATTATTAAGGAGCATGAACAATAGAAAAGAAATCAAGAAAGCAGTAGATAACAATTGACATTGCATTTACATTTTTGAAGATCAAAATTAGCTGGAAAGCATGGAGCCAAAAAAGGGTTCCACAAGTGAAAAGTGCAAGAAAACAAACTCTTAGCAGAGAACTTACAGTTACAGCAATTTCAACTGTAAATTGATGGGACCTTGAAAAATTATTATTCTATTCATTTTATTCTATTTCTTCATAAACATTTTTTACAATATATATATATATATATATATATATATATATATATATATATATATATATATATATATATATATCTAAGTTTGTATTGTTCAAAAAGTCATATAATACTAGTTTCTTGTGGATTAGACATTAGGAGAAGAACGAGTAAAGCTAACTTTAACCTTTACCACACTAATTTCTTTCTAGCCACTGCATTTTTTTTTGTAGGGTGCAAAAATATGAACACCTACTGTTTTAAAATTGTTATAACTTTCTTTGTATTATGCATATAGATTTTAACTTTTGTACACTAAAAAGAATGAATGAATAATATTTTGATGTAATGCATTACGTTTTGCATGCATGTTTTGACGTTGACAAAAAAATGAAACACAAAATAAAAAAAAACAAATACATTAAAAAAATACATAAATAATTCAATGTACTTTAACTTTTATTACTCCTTGTGGAGTTCTCAGGATGCAATAAGAAGCAAAATCACTAAGGCTTTCATTTTGTCAAAAAAGTGATGTGTTTCCTTGTGTTTACATACGAGAAGACACTAGCATTTGTTTGCCCTTTCTTTCACCTGACTCATATATAGACAAAATAATTCACCTTCAGAAAGGCTATTAGTTATAATGATGGTTGCCAGTAGCTTCCATGAAATTAGTCAGGTATGGATAATAGTAGACACTAGTGGTCATCATCTTCGACCACTTCCCAGTCAATATCCACTCTAGTAAAGCCTTCAAAATCATCATCAGAGTCCTAATGATGTGGCCATTTATGTTTACAAAAAAAAAAAAAAGAATTAATGTGGGTTTACTCAGTGTTGCACCTCAGGTAGATTAAAACAGAAGTTTAACCTTGTTCCAAAGCAGTAGTAGGTGATTTCCACCTTAAAATACTGGAAATAACAGTTGACAAGTGTTTATTTTTAGCAACCATCTTAAGGTGACAGAATGCACCTGGAGTAGCAAAGGGAGAGAATTCTACAGCAACTATTATCGCCTGCAGTGTGCTTTAAGGAACTCTATCTTCCTTGTTCACTCTGCTCAGACAGTGTAGGCTCCGATGGCTGGGTCATGTTTGTCATATGGAGGATGGTCGAATTCCCAAAGACATCTACAGGGAACTTTCAAATGGCAAAAGAGTCGCCCTCAGCTGTACTACAGAGGTGTGTGTAAGAGGAGCATGAAGGCCCTTGAGATAAACAGTGAACACTGGGAGGACCTTGCTGCTGACTGTTCTGGATGGAGAAGCACCCTGACTAAACAATTAATGTCAGGATAGGAGATACTGAACACCACAGCAGAAGACGAGCTTAAAATACTGGAAGTAACAGTTGACGAGTGTTTATTTATAGCAACCGTCTCAAGGTGACAGAATGCACCTAGAGTGACAAGGGAGAGAATTCTATGGCGACTATTGTCACCTGCAGCATGGTACTGGTTAAATCTTGTTTGAACTGGTATTTACCTATCCCTCCACAGTGGTAGGTATGTGACATAAGGTAGAATTCAGTATGAGGTTCCTGTAGCTGTACATGCAGCTAATTCTAGAAATTAGCCAACTACATTCGCTAATCAATTTTGGCATGCCTTAGGCATCAACTTTGACCTTATTGCTTTAAGTGCAATGGGGCAGTGCTGCACAGAAGGACACCTCTCCGGAGCTGAACAATGAATTCTTATTTTTTTTTCTTGCTTCAGCTCATTAAAGAGAAGTCTCCCCTTATTTACTTGCAAATAATTCATGAATTCAATAAATACAAATGTAGGGCTACTAAAGGCGATTATGTGACAGCCACTTAGCTAATGTTTAATATTTTTGTTGTAAATTCTTAAAGAACAAATAAAATCTATAAATCCAATTTCATATATGTTAGTTCTATTAGTATTTTGATCATTGTTTTTTTTTTTTTTTTGTTAGAAACAAACATTGCAGAGGGAGTGAAGTTATTAAAATAATAATGATGTCAAGTGAAAACCATCCATTTGGCATAGGTTTTTTTTGCCGACGTGAAGATTAAAGCTTGCTGAAAATTTATAACGTAACTTAAATTGAAAAATTACCTCATGGACGTCCGTACATAAAAAGAATCTTGAGGGGAAGCCATATTGTTTTTATGCTGACAAAGTAACACAAAATCACAGTGATGACCATGAGATTTGAGAAAATATAAATATGCAGCGTCCGAAAGACGGGGTAAAAAAAGGGGGGTTGTCAGTCTACAAACGACCAGACAATACAACAAATACAACATCTACAAGCTATCTCGGCGTATATATCTGTTATAAGCGCCGTGACGATATGGAGGGGAATTGCAAAGTAACTGTCGATATGGTGAAAACATTCAGTGGCGACGGTGATTTGATGGCCTGCTTGGCGAAAGTGAAATGGGTTGCGAGATTGCAAAATGTCCACGATCTCACAAGCTTTATGTCCCTGTTTTTAGAAGGAGACGCCCTGGTCTTACATCTTCAGTTGACTGAAGAGGATCAATACGACAAATACAACATCTATAGTAACTTAAATTATTTCCTTAATATCTGCATTTAATCACACAGAATAATAATGACAAAAATAAAAGGTTTTAGGATAGAGTTTTCTGTAGCTAAGCAAAGACAAGATTGAAATTATAAACACTTCATAATTATAGATTTTAGGATTAGATTATAGCATTTTCTGTATCAAATGTAAAGATCAGAGTGAATGAAAGCTTAGATGATGAGGATAATAATAATAATTATGTGATAGATTATATTTTTCTTCATCTAACCAAAGAACTGGATTGAATCTAGGCACACAGAATAATAACAATAGATTTTAGGATTAGATTATAGTGTCTCCTGTATCAAATCAAAAGATCAGATTGAATGAGGATTCAAGAAATCATGATAAAATTTAGGACAGTAATTCTCAGTGGATCTCTATGCAAGGAATAATAATATTAAAAACCAAATCCTACCACAACTGGCTCTGGTAATAGAACCTCTTCAGATGCATGAAAGTCGTCTTCAAAATTATCACCAGCATCATAACTATGATGATCAGAATCATTTTCTTTCACTTCACTGGACTGTACATCAAGCAGCTTCTCATCACATGTTATTGGTTCACCTGAAGAATACAAAAGATTTACATTGTAGTGATACCTAGACATTCCAATATCCCTTGTAATTGTTCGAGATATGAGTTAACCATAGTCTGCTACAAGACAATAGGAAGGCTCAATTAAGACTGATCACCAGACACTAGCTAGTTTGCTTAAAAAGCTAGCTCACTATTCATCAAACTATCACCAATTTCTGACAGTCATTCAGCAGACTGGTACAAGGCCGTTATCGCAGGGCTCCCATTGAAGACTGAATTCACCACATAAACATATTTATCATTGCTGACTGCTGACCCACATGAAAGCCAGAAGAATACCAATCTTCTAAGTGGTGAGTGCCTGGCTCAATAAGAAAAAAAGAATCCAAAATCCTTGTGTTTACCAAAGTTCAAAGACTGGCACTAGTGGGCAACCCATAACATTTTCACCCACAAAGACTGCAAATATGCAAGTGATTATAACCAATAGGTTCCAAATGTGTTAAAAGGTTTAAAAGACATGGAATGGCTTATCAGAAAAATTTTCTGAAACTTGTATAAAAAGAGGATTGCTGCCCAAATACACAATTATCATTTTATATATATATATATATATATATATATATATATATATATATATATATATATAGTGTATATTTTGGCAGCAATTTTCATTGATGCACGTTTCATTAAATAATATAGAAAGTTTTGTCTATTCATTTTAAGTAAGTTCCTTTCATATTGTATAAGCTTAATAACATTATCATTGAAAGACGAAAGGTAAGCTTTCGGCTTACATAAGCCATTATCAAAGATTTTCGCTTCCGCGTCTCGTTAGTCAATGTTAGTCAAGTTAGTCAATGCTTTTAAATTTTTCATGCAACAAAAACAGACTATCATTATTGTTTCATCTGTGTATTGGTTGATATATTGAAATTTAATTGTCATCTTTGATTCCTTTAAGAAAATAGCTATTTTGTAGACACTGGTTTCAGAATTATTATTAAAAATAAACTGCCACAGATGTCTTTTATTGGTGAAACTTGCAGAAGTTAAAAAAAAAAAAACAACTGTTCTAACAATTTATCCAATTCATTAGTTATACACAGAAATAATTTCAACATCTTTGATCTAAAGAATGCCATACTTATTAAAAGAGAAAATAACTGAGATGAAAAGTTCTTGAGATTGCAATGATAGATTCTTGCCAAATTGTTAACTTACATACAGAATTTTTTTTTTTTTTTTTAAATTTATATCCAAATGTAATTTATACAAGTGTAGTCAAAGACCTCCTTTAAGGATTCAAAAAACAAATTCCTATATTTTGGACCATTTTTCTGGTTTCTGGTAAAAAAAAAAAAAAAAAAAAAAAATGTAAAGGGTCTCTTTTAATTAAAAACCGTGAAGAAGAACACCATGCTACTCAAGAGAGCTGAGGAACTCATTTGGGTTCTCAGAAGGATGTAGAATTATGTCAGTTGAACTGCCACTAAAATTTGTTGCATTTGTTTTGTTTTTATATCTTTGATTACAGCATTCTTTGAAGTAAGAATGCTGGGCTCACAGAGCCAATTGTGATTTGGGGGCATTGTTTCTTTTTTTTTTAACAACAAAAAAAAAAACAAAAACACAACAACAACAACAACAACAACACCAAAAAAAAAAAAAAAACAAGTTTAATTTTGGACATTTTTTTGTTGTTTGCATAGGAAACTTGTTTTTGGACTTTGAATCAAAATTCTTTCGGATGGTTGGATATGGTAAAAGAAACAAAATTCCCAGTAAGTCTACAAAATGCAACAGGATGTATTACTCCTCACTTACCATTTATGTTGTTATTGTTCTTGTTAATTTGCACAGACAAAATTTGGGCAGAGGCTTCGAGGAGGAGGCAGCTGTCTTGATTAACTTGACTTGTATTGAGACGGAAATCTTTTCGACTACCCAGGACTTCACCATTTTTGCTAAAATGCAAAAGTTTTAATATGAAAGAATCAAAGCAAGTTAAACAAAGAATAAGTGCAACAAAATCATTAAAAAAAAAAAAAAAAAAAATAAAAAAAAAAATAAAATAAATAAATTTCTATGATGGGAAAATTTTATGACAAAGTCGAAAAAGTTTTCTTGTGACGTGTTTCATCCTTCATCAGACAAAGGAGGAGGAAATGTGACACAAGGAAACTTTTTCCACTTTGTCAAAAAATTTCCCCAATACTGTTCTAGATATATAAAAATATGTACTGTTCTCTCAAGTCTCTATAATATAAAACACAAAGTCAAACACTGGCACTAGTGGGTAACCCATAACATTTTCACCCACCAAGACTGCTTTATTTACAAATATGCAGTTGATTATAACTAATAGGTTTCAAATGTGTTTAAAGACATTGTTCTGTTACCATGGTATAGCACTTCTAGTTTTATTTTTTGTATGTTTGCCCACTTTTTAATTTAGGTACATTTTGAGCTGAGTCGTCTTTGTTGATCAGCTGTTTAGCTCATACTGGAACTGACACAATAAAGCAGGGTCAAATCATGTGGTTCCTACTATAAATTGACATCCAAATCATAACATTGCAGGTACATAAATTCTTAACCTTTTTCTCTCTGCATGGGTCCCCTTTAACATTATTATTTGGACTTTTGTTTATGGTGGCCCTCTTTGTAAACATTTATTTTGCAGTTTTACTTTGTCATGTAGAAACCCTATCACCATGTGTTGACTGTTCTCACATTATGTCATACTGTAATTTTCTTCCTTTCTGAAAATTTATCATTTAAAACATTTTCATCTTAGCAAACTATTTGCTAATTCTTTTATCCATTTAGATCAGCCGCCTCAGAATCATGGTCACATTCAGGTCTCTTTGTCATATTTTTTCCCTCTTCCTTTTTATGTGGGCTAAACTAGTTTCAAGTTTGTATTTATTTCTTTTTCTAGTTTTACCCTTTTTGGTTTTCAATAAGCCTGATGATGAACAAGACTGTCTTCAGGGGATTGTAACAAAATATTGTAATATTAATTATACTGCACCAATTATAAAGTTTTATATTTACATACAATAGTAGGTATTCATTTATCTCAAGAGATAATGGTAGCACACCATTTGGCCAAACATTGTCCTTTTGTGAGCAGCATTTGGAGTAACTGAAGAGTCCAGTCATTGAACGGGAGTCTCTTCTGCAGGGATAGCAGACAAAGCTGGAATGAAGGTCTGACATGGCTCTCTGCTTCCTTTGTTGTCTTCTGATCTCCAACAATTGGTTTTGCCAACTTCCCAGCTTTTTTTCGTCCTTGAACAGCATGGCTCCAGCTGCAATCATTTGCTAGCTGTACGCTCTATCCATGATATTGAGCACTTTTTACACATAAATATAAATGTAGCATACTGTGAAACTGTATGTGAGTGAGAGAGACTATTTGCAAAGTTCCAGCTTCCCAAATACCAGGATGTAGACCAAGGGTCAGCCAGATCAAGTCTCGTAAAGATTTTTGTCCAGACTGCAAAGTATTTTTGTCTGGCCGTATAACTTAGGAATTTACATTTTTTTGTTGATTGTATTAGTTGTTATCCTGTTATTCCTGCAGTAAAATAAATAACCTTGCGTAAATAATAAAAAAAAAATCAGCTTTATTGTTTTTTTTTTTCTTTAAACCCCCAGACCAAAGTAACCTTCTGGACAGAGCGGTCTGAGGTAGAGACAATTTATTATAGTAAATTTTATATCATGGCCCTCTTTTGAGACACTGCATAGACGTCTAGCCCGCTTTTTCCAAAAGGTTGCTGACCCGTGATGTAGACAGAGGAATTCTAATTACCACACAGACACCACATTGGTTGTTGATAATGACTACGATAATCAAAAGTATGTGATCAAAAAACAATAAAATATGAGCTTCAGACACCTTCTCTACAACTTCGAATATAATACTCAACATATCCAAAAGTTGGAAAAATCTAAATAAAAAAAAAAAAACAAAGACAGACTGTATTGAGTCTTTTTAACTAGACTTATTTGAATGAATACTTGCTGCCTTTTCATGAAATACTTTGCTTTGATGCTTTGGCACACATCATCACTGAGGTTCTTAGCCAAGGATCATTAGGGGTTTCAAGTTTTCAACATCATGCTTCCTCTCCACGGTGACCCCAGTCGATACTGATTGGATATCTAACTATGTAACACCTGTCAGCTGTTCTCAATGTGCACAACATATACTCACCTGCATTTTATAGTCCAATCAATACCTTATATATATATATATATATATAGATAGATAGATAGATAGATAGATAGATATATATATATATATATATATATACACACACACATACATACATACACAGTCCATCTGAAGGTAGTGTACAAATCACACAAACCTCAAATGCTTTAAAGACTTATGTTTCTTATTTGTTCTAATATAGATTTTGATCAATTGTTAAGGATTTTACTTGTTATTGAAGTAAAAATTGATTTTCTGGTTTTTGCATAATAACTTCAGACTGCAGCTTTTATAATGATCCAGTTACTTTAATGAAAAATGTTGAAACTACCTAAATATTTAAACTCAAGCTTTGCTTTGATGTCTAAATAGTTTAAAATTTGACAAAAATTATTCAAAGCAAATTTGAGTAATTGAGTTATGTGATTTGCATAATAACTTTAGATGTGTGTGTGCATATGGTCACACACACACAAAAAAAAAAACAAAAAAAAACCCACCTATTTTTAAAACTGAACATCTTTCATAATTAAAAAAAAAGGAAAAAAGGGAGCATGGGATGAATAACCACGTAAATAAGTTATTCAGCTCAAATATATATTTGTTACATTTTCATAGTAACCAGTCTGCCATTTTAATGTGAGACTTCTGTAAAGGGGAGATAATTATGTGAAATGTATTTCAAAAATTGAATTTTGAGTACAGGTCATGAAAAACAAATTTATGCACAGAGTAAGGTCACACTTTAATGTCATATACTGTCTTTTTTTGATTTTTTTTTTTAACACAAAGAAAAAAAAAATAGATGGCAGGTGGGGGGGGTTGCACCATACGCAGGTAATTCATTTTAAAAATATAGCAGTCAGATTTGAACGAAAACAAAAGCACGGTATCTAAATCTTTGTCTCATATTTTATGGTAGTTGTTTTTTTTTTTCCCCTTGGGGTAGCTTTGTACAAAAAAGAATGAAGAATTTGTTACAAAATATGTCTAGGATGATGCCCAGTACAGCAATATTTGACTACGGTAGGTCTACTAGCATTGCCTAGGAGTTGGAGCCACATTATACACAGGTCATATGAAAAAAAAAAAAAAAAAAAAAAAAAAATATTCAGGAGTTACACAAAAAAAAGTAGGCTTATAAATGAGTGTAAATGGTACTTTTTTGTCAATCATACACTATATATCAATATTAATATTTTTAGTATCAAATTCATTGAATTTCATGTATAACTTGTACAAGGAAATAGGAGATGTCTGAATCAAATTTAATGCCAATCAGTAACCTTTGATCTAAGAGAAGTTGATCTGTGGTGACCCAAATATGTACAAGGATCACCCTAAAAGATACCAAAGTAAGTTTTGTACTTGGTGTCACATCAGAATATCAAAATAGCTAGGTGCCTCAAAATTGAACCTTGAAGGATGGCAGTGGCTGCATCAACAAAACAGGAAGTTAAACCATTTGCATAATAACTTGTGTGTGTGTGTGTGTGTGTGTGTGTGCGTGCCTCTATCTCACAGACAAAAGAGGTACAAAATCGCATGTGCCACACACACACACACACGTGCGCAAATTACCTAATGTCTTAGGACTAATTAAATACCTGTAGATGAGCAGGAAAAATATGCATAATTGACTGAGGCACACATAAAAGCCAGCAGATTTTTTTTCTTTGGGAGAAAGGATTTAGTACTGCAAGGAATACATTTCAATGAGACAGCTGTGAGGTTCAATGACAAAGATGTGGCAGTGAGGAAGAGAAACAGATTAATACAAATATATTACAACCGCACTTAAAATATATCCGCATGCAAGACAGGCGAATGAATTTGAATGAAGCATTAAAAAAAAAAAAAAAAAAAAAAAAAAAAAAAAGCCTTTTCTCAAGTAAGGATACTGACTCGAATAAAAGCACTTGTCCTGATTCAGCAAATAATGACAAAGCTGAGAATGATCATACTTCCACATTCTCTAGACCAAGTCACCTAAAGACAATCACTTGTTTTGCTTTATGCAACACTCCTTGACTGGTCAGCAGTCCCAACAAAATATTTGTAGAATTCTTCAAACCAAGAGTAGAATTCTTGCTTTCTCGTGAAACAAGGAATTTTAACTAAAAAGTGGCATAACATTGATTGAATGATCTGGGGTTTTTTTGTCTTGTTTTTGACAGTTTATCAACCCTTTGTGGGTTATTTAAACTAGAAATATATTTTGGATTGTAAGACTAATTCTTCCTCTGCAAATGGATATTGCATTAACAATTTTTTGAGAACAATGATTTATTCCCAGAAACAGGTTCTATTATTTAACAGGGTTCCGCAAGAGGTCACTAGAAACGGCGATAAATAGGCCAATGCATTTTTGAGTATTTTTTTTTTAATTTTATATTCATAATTTTATTATACCTATATAACATTGTTAGCGAATACATGGTTAATAAAAGCTTTGACCTCTTACATTATTTAAAATTATAATAATCTTAGGGAATGTATTTAGCAATGTCTATATGGCATCTATGAAACTATCTTCACTGGTTAGTGAACAAGGTTGGTATGCGGCAGGTTTGTGTATCAGCGGGTAGCTTGCTTTTGATGTGAAGGGACTCCAAGATTTGCAATCTTTTTTTTTTTTTTAATTTATTTTTCAAATGCATATATTGTTGAAAATTATAATAATTATAGTGAACGTTTTTAGCGATGTCTATATGGGTTCAGTGTGAAAGCATCTTCACTGGTTAGTGGACAGGACTTACCATGGGAACTACGATGAAAATACGCGATAGATATTAATAATGGCATATAATCATTTTATAAGACATGAAACCTATTTTAAGGGTTCCCCCAGGGTAAAAAGGCAGAGAAACGCTGATTTCACCTGTAGCTGGAGGGGATGTATCACTCCAAGGATATTTTGTGCATAAGTGAATGTAATGAATCCAACTTGAATTTGGACTCAGGTTTGTGAAGCTGTATAACATCGGAGAATGCCGAATTGATAATTGGATAAAAATGCTATAAATAAAATTAAAAACAAAAAAGCTTGGAACTATTAGATTACTAAAACACATATACAAAAAAAAACAAAAAAACAAAAAAAAAAACAAAAAACAAAAACCATTTGCCTGAAATATAAATATGCACATGTAAAGAATTTTTTCATTTACCCCACAAGTTGATCATCTCCCATCTCATCTCCAAATGGAACCATGGACATCGGTCGTCGGGGAATTGTTCCTACCAACTGGAAACAAAAAGAAATAAAATAAAATAAAAATTAATTGAAGGGCATCTGTACATCTATACTTTAACTCTTATCATAAAAAGCCCCATGATTTCATTGTTTATTAAATAAAGGCAAGTTCTCAGTTCTTAGGCCCAAGAAAAAAAATAAGTGCACTATTACTCTAATAAATATTATGGATTATTTGGCAACAGGCATCATGGAGGAATTAAAATTTTTTCTATACTTTCTGGTGTTTTGTTGCTGATTATTTGTTAAAAAAAAAAAAAAAAAATTCCAGGACTACGTTAAGAAATTTCAAGGACTAAAACTGATGTGCACACACACACACACACACACACACAGTGTATGGTCATCAATTTCAAAAACAAACATTGTGATTTGTCTTTTAATAGTTTGGCAGATGAGATTTTCAAAGAAAAGCTACAGACAATAGTCCGAATAATGTAAATAGTATACATAACACCTCATCTCGGAAATATAGACAGATACTGAGGCTACAGCTGGTTCCAATAATTCATGTCACATGGACCAGTTGAAAGCAGTGAAGAAATCAAATTGTTGAAGGCTAATGCAGACCCGGCAGACTGATCAAAGAGACTAGGTATAATTAAAATTTACTTGAATAAAATACAATCATATATACAGCAGCATCATCAGACACATAACTAAGTGCAATTGCAGACTTGCTGCACATCTGAGAAGTTCCCTCTCTGTGTGGTTGAAAACCAGGGCAGTTTATATGTGTGTGCTGAGCAAGTAGATATAGAAGAGCCTATCCCTCCCCAGACCAAGGTCCCCCAAAGACATGTGGCTGTTGATTCAATTAGGGGGAACCCTCCACCCTGACTGTTAATTATAGTACAGGAAGTGATCTGCATACATACATTGTGTTGATCCTCACAAGAAGGTTCATTCATCCTTGGACAGGTCTTACTTTTAATCTTGCTGGATGTCTAGCTACCCTCCTCACCAGGAAAGCATGTTGGGTGGGAATCAGTTTAGTCACTAATGACTTGACCAAGCGGAAAGTAATACTGTGTTACATGATACCAGTAACATGCATAAAGCAACTTGATAGAATATTCCAATACCATTTCATTTTTTTTTTTTCATTTTAGAACCACTTTCGATCTAATACACATTCAGTTATCTTAGATGCTTTACCATAGACTCATCATCATTAGCAAGCTGATGTAGCTATTATTATTATTATTATTACTAGTACATTGGACAGAATTTATCTAAACTGGATATAATTTTTTTAAATTCAAAAATATGTAATATAAAACAAAATAACAAATGAAATCTTGAAGCAGGAATATACACTATAGCCTGTAATAAATGTCATAAAAGAAAAAAAAAAAATTTTGAAGAGAAATAAATTTACTTCCTTTTGATCCCAGTTTTATTATTCTATCTAATCTCAAAATTGTTTTATAGGATCAAAAACCTTACTTATCAAAATGTCAACAATGGCCAGATCTAACTAATGCCTTTATCCATTGTGCCATGTGTCCTTGACACATAGCATAGTGGATAAAGGCATTAGTTAGATCCAGTGACAAGACTCAAAGAGTGTGAGTTCAATACCTGGTTAAAGGAATTAACAGGAGATAACTGATAACTGACATCAAATCTACTCCAGCAAGCGAAATGAAGGGTTCAGTTCAACATTCCAACCACCTGAAGGTCGGAGCGTACAACGGACGAAAAGTTGAGATAAATATGGCAACAAAGATGAGGATGATAATCCAAATAATGTAAATAGTGTATTAATTTAGTGATATTGAATTCAAGAAAACTAAATTGATACAAAAACACTGGAGAGTATAATGATGGAAAAATTGAGATAAAGAACAATGTTGAGAAAATTAACCCAAAGAACCAGTGCAAAATAGTAACAGTAACTGAATTGTTATAACATGACACCATGACTGAGACACTCACACAGAAAACAATGGGATTTTATCTCAGCCTGAAGTATTCTATGTTTTACGACCAACAATAGTCTCTGAAATGGGGTTTTCTAAAGCAGCCATCCTATTGGACAGAAGAGAATAAAATAAGAGATAAATAATGAAAACCCTTGGGAACAAGTGACAACAAACTGGATGTTAAAGACGTCCAGTCACAGACTTATATTACCAGTGTTGACTGCATATTGTCAGGCTGTCCTTTACTGGATGTAAGGAGTTTGTCAAAAAAAGTTGTCAGCTGAATGCCAGGATGAAGAGATAGGCAGAAAGTTAGGAGAAAGACAGATTTATTACTGATTGATGAGAAAAGGTGATCTATTAGTCTGAGATATCAGAAGTTGTTCCTAAGTGTCATCTATCTACATACCAAGACTGAGCAAGAGAATTTCAAAATAAACAGAATATCTTGGAAACAAGGTTTGGGCCTTCATTTATCCCTATGACATTTATTTTCACTTAAAAAAAAAACAAAAAAAAAAAACTACCGCTTCCTTGTGAGCATGCAACAGAACCTTTTCCAGCGTTGGTGCTCATCAATGTGTACAAGAATAGAGAAGCAACATGGGGTTTCATTGTACAGTCAGTGAAAAACAGAGTGAGTTGTAAGTTTACAATAAAAACAAAGTTTGGGAAAATGTTAAGGAAAGAATGTATGAGAATTCCTGATAACTTTCTATACTTAGAAAAACAAGCATCTCTTATTGATTGACCAGGAAGAGAAATTGGAATTGCACAAACCTTTTCATTTTCTTTCATTACAATCTCCAGTTCTTCAATATCATCCAATGGTAGAAGCTGGTAGGGGGGGAAAAAATAGAGACATTAAATTGAAGGTAAAATAAAATTTTACAGAAAAACATGGAACAAAAATTATGAAAAGTAATTACAAAAATCCAGAGTCTTGCAACTTTTACAGTGCGTCACTGTAAGTTTGAATAAAAATTCTGAGGGGACAAAAAAAAAAAATAAAAAATTTAGCTTTAAATACAAATCCTATTGACCAATCCTTAGTAAATGAAATTACAAAATATAAAATATACAGTAGCTTAGATCTTGTGAGTACCTATCTGCAGATCACTATAAAAAGAACAGTTCTACATCACTTTAAACTGATGGTAATCTATACAAGCCCAATAGAATCCCATTTAGTGTTACTAAAGAGGTAGCAAGTTTTCAGCATGTTATTGATAAAATTATAGAAAAGGAACACGAGAATAAACATGTCTACAGTCCTGTTCACACTCTTCCTTGGTCTTTTGAACAGGAGTAGAGGTTTATCCCTTGTTTCCTGTTTAGGATTGAGTTTCCAGTTCCTTTGAAAGTCTCATTCTCTTTCACTCATTGTATCTCCTTACAGCTTAGTGGCATCTATCACTTTGCTGGGAGTGGATTAAAGAATTGGATTATGGCTAAGTCTGATTACCAGCTTGGATTATCACATAACCCACAGGATTACATTATATAGTAATATCCCAACAAAAACACTTCTGAACAACTCAGTATGTCTTTAAGCACAATGGATTCATAGAAACCAAAATATTAAATGTGAAAAAAAAAAAAAAAATAAAAAAAAATAAAAATATATTTTATCAAATTTGGTCAATTTAAGATGAGATCAGTTTACAGGATACTTTACTGCTTGTAATGTTTTTCCTATTTACAAATTTATTAATTGTGTGCAAAAGTCCTCAGTGGCGCCTTTGGAAAACTAATGGATTAATACATAGCAGAAAATATTTTCTGAAAAAAAAAAAAAAAAAAAAAAAAAAAAGAAAAAAGAAAGAAGTTTTTCCAGAAACCTTCTCACAAGTCTTATATAATCTTGATTGGAAAAGAAAAAAAAAAAATTTTTGATCTTTGCCAGAGAGTTTTCTTTAAAACTTAAATACATGAATTCTGTGTTATGTTGGCTTTGGCTAAAAGAAATATATAATCTGGTTAAATCCTGGTTTGGATTAGAAACTAATTTATTCCAGGGGTATTTTGAGGTTATCTTTATCACAACATTCTGGCTGAGGCATTCTTAAGCCTTCCTTTAAGCACTTCTTTCATAGATAGTTCTACATCCAAATTACAAAGAAATTTCTGACTTTTTATCAAAAACTACATTATCACATGTAGCCATTCATCTTAATTTTGGTTTTTTATTTTTACTGTCATCCCTATCTATTAATCTGATCTAATTTCTCTAAAGCCTCCAATGTTAGGTAAACAACTGTAACACCAACACTAGATGGAAACAAAAATAAAGACACTAGTCTGTATAACGCTGACAAAAACTCTTAAAATACGAGTATAAGGAAGTATAAAAACATATTGGCCAAAATGTAATAAGATATGGATGGATAGATGGATGCATGCATACATAGCTGTGTTTCTTTTGTTGTTGTTGAGGTAGAACCAGGATTATTCTTGCACAAAGCAATGTGGATTCTGCCTGAGAGAGGACCTCTTGTATGAATGATTTGAGGCAAGGATTTACAAAGCTGGATGCTTTTCATGACACCCAACTGAAACACATACAAGTACACCAAGTGTTTATATTAAGAAAACATCTCTAGGAGGATTGCCTTTCAAAACTTAAGACCCCATTCTAGCCATATATATATATATATATATATATATATATATATATATATATATATATATATATTTATATATATATATATATATATTAAGAAATGGACAAGGTCCGACAATTTATTTATTAAAGACATTTATTATGTTTAACGTTGTTATTTTATAGATACAAGTATTTAAGCAAATGCTCTGTTTATGATAAACAGTATTAAATAACATTTACCGCCTGAATGTCGAGAAATTTTCATAGAAAATATTCGTTCTTTGACAGGATTCAACCTGCATCCTATAATGAACTCATATATACGCTGACGTGCCTTACCGCTAGGCTACAAAGAAGCGTTCAGGTAGACAAGGTCGAATTTACTGCTTATAAACTCCAATTTTCCATGAATCTCGTACATTCATAACTGCTCTGGCGTATCGAAATGTAAACAAATGACGTCATATATTAAGAAATGGACAAGGTAAATGTTATTTAATACTGTTTATCATAAACAGAGCATTTGCTTAAATACTTGTATCTATAAAATAACAACGTTAAACATAATAAAATGTCTTTAATAAATATATATATATATATATATATATATATTATGTATTCACAGTCTGAAGATCATTAGAGAGGTATTCTGTGTCATAGCATATCTGGTCAATGTTAGTGGTTGTTGCTGGACGACCAACCAGTTTTGGAACATGGCTAGGTTTCCAAAGGAGTTGATCATTTGCAAGTTCTGGTTTTGCTCACCAACAGTGTCCTGCAAACCCTATTCTTCATTCACATAAGATTGTAGAAATATCAGGGTCCATATAGAAGTGCGATTTAGTTGGACATTGTCTCCAGGAGATGTTAAGTATAGCTCTCAGCATCCAAGTCTAGGTTCCATCAAGCTTAGACTCTAGGGTTTTAGTTAATATCCAGGCGGTGACACCATACATTAACACCACCTTTACAGTGGCTCATTTTATTCAAGGTGGCCCAGGCTTTAACTATACGAATTTTCACATCCTTTTCAGTAGAATGTATTTCGCTTTGTAGGTATGTAAAAGTTTTGACAGATTTTATTGATCCACCTGACACATAAGAGTTGATATTGAAATCAACTCTAAGCGGCAATAGTCTGTTAAAATTTATTAAGTAAACCCAGTACTTTCTACTGCTGAGACATGTTGCTTGCATTTCAACAATTTCCTCTACTAGCTACCCACCAAAAAAACTGTCAAAAAGTGGAAGAGTTTCTGAGGCGAATAAAGAAAACAGCAACCAGCGAGTAAATTCAAGCTCTCCCAGCTGGTATTTCAACTTTGAGTCGTTCCTTCTTGAGTTCTGTCTCAAAATCACACTGACTGACTGTTCTTGCCGCCAACCGTAGTTGTCCATATACCCATAATCCTTTACGTCTTCATGTGACCCCATAATTCATTGCGTCCATGTCCCATAATGCATTGCATCTTTATTGCATAAAAACCAATGCAAGTCCCCCCTCATTCTTTTACGTTATCTGGCTGAGGACGGATTACGGCAGAGCGGTAAGTGCTTTTTTTACTCCCTCATTTCAACTGCAGTAGCTTTACATGCTAAGCAAATACGGGCTCTTTTTTGGCGGGGACAAGGCAAGTCGCGACCAGTTGTGCTTGTCCCAGGTTCTGTCTCATGTCCACCACAGTTTCTAAGAGCCAACAGCCAGTGTGCGTGTGTGTGTATCTATATTTATTTGATAATTAGTAGGGATAAATCCAAAGAGAGCTCAATGTAAGAACAGAGCAAATGTAATAACAATGAAAGCAGAGACTTTAGAAATCCATGGTAATAATTTATTTCATGGGATCAGATAGACCCCATCTCTTCAGACCAAACAATTTTACAACAATAAATGAATTTTAAATGTATCCAAACACAAGCAAAAAAAAATCAAAACATTGGAGGGGAAGATATAGATTCTAAAATAAGGTTTTAATATGGGAGAAGGGAAAGAGCAAGAGAAAGGGGGAGAAGTGTGGGTGTGTGTGTGAGTGAGAGAGAGAAAAAGGAAGGGAAGAAAGTTGTTAGGAAATTGCTGACAGGTTGACCTCCTTTCACCAGATGTGACAAGTAGAAGAGAGTGAATATATTCAAAAAGGAACAGAGGCAAAAAGAGAAAGGAGTAGAAGAAAAGAGATGACAAGCAAAAAGGAACATATTCATAAATTGTCTATTCATGTGGTGAAGTAATGTCATCAATCACACCTGTTCTAATTTTAAAAAAACTGGTGATTATGAAAATAATAGTTGTAATAAAAATTTTTTTTATTAAAGTGAAGAAAAATATGAAATTATGAAGATACATGTGTGTATATACACACAACATACATAAATAAAAATATATATATATATATATCGATATGAAAATCTAAAAGTATACACCTGCATACATACACACCCCCATCTATATACATACATAGGCCCACATATATACACTCACACAACATACATCCATAGACACACACACACATAAAACTTGCCTCAAATCATTACAACAAATCCTCTGTCAGGCAGGATCCACCTTGCTCTGTGCAAGATTAACCCTGGTCCTGCTGGATATAACATTTTTCTTTTTAAATTGTTGACATTAACTTTATTGAATGATATATTTACAGTCTCCTCCCACCCACTATCTTCTGTCATTTTTCAGACAACTTACTAATTCTATCCTCCCTGAATATTATGTTCCCCAGCAAAGAATTGCTGTAGGTGACCTTTGCAGTCTCCTAGGGAATGAAGAATTCTGTAAACATCAGAAGAAACAACAGTCTGAAACTGCAATACTTGATAAATGCGTCAAATAAAAACTTTCTAACCCTGCTGGAAGAATTTTTGCCTATTATTTGCATACACAGACATGAAAAAAAAAAACAAAAAAAAAAACATAATACACGCAACAACCCACCTGGATATCTTCATCACTAAAAGTGATGTCGGGATCTGCTCCACCATCATTTTTGTTCCCTGCATTGTCTTGTTTGTTTCGTCTTGGTAAATATATAAAAATAAGCATATCAAGAATAGATTCAAATATAATACTACCTCTATCCCATAATATTTATGTTATGTTTAACTTCTTTTTCTGTTTAAATATCTAACTAAAGGAGTTTTTTTTTTTTTTTTATAAACTGTCCAAAAAAGAATAAAAATTAGTATTTTCAAAATTACACCTATTGTGTTTATATTTTTGCATATTATTATTATTTTGATTAGAGATTATAATAAAAACATTTTGAAATCACTACACAAAATATTTCATGTTTCAATACTATGATTGTACATCTTCAGGCGATGGGAAGTAATTGGTGATTAAATGATTTTTTCATTTCATCACCAGTTACCTACCACTGCCTGATGAAGTACAATCATAGTATTGAAACCTGAAAGATTTTGTGTAGTGATTTCAAAATGTTTTTATTATAATCTCTTATAATCAAAATAATAATATCTTGGTAAGTAACTGGTGATTAAATGAATAGAGTCATTTAATCACCAGTTACTTTCCATTGCCTGAAGAAGTACAATCATAGCATTGAAACATGAAAGATTTTGTGTAGCAGTTTCAATGTTTTTATTATAATCGCTTGTAATCAAAATAATAATATATTGCTCTACTTTTTATTTAGTATTTTTTAAAAAAAAGTAAATGCTACAGTATAATTTCACTCCATCTGTTTTGTCATTTGGATATATATATCTTATTACTATAAATATTATTTTTAGTGGGTACACATGTTTGAGTTGCTACCCCTGTTTTTTTATTTTTTATTTTATTAAACAATGAAGTTAATAACAACCAGCGTAAATTGAGAAATCCTACTAAGGAAAAATTTTACTAACTGAAAGGAATTGAAACACACAAGAAAAAAAAGAAAAAAGAGGAATACACTTACTTTTTGCTAACTAACAAATCCAAGACTTCATACACTAATGCATAAAGATATTCCACCTGCAAAAGAAATGAAAGAAAAAGAAATGAAAGAAAAAGAAAATAAATTCATCTTCAAGTAAGCCATTTTGTATCTTGAACTTTTGGATAACACTTTCTATATCAATTTTTCATCCGATTTCATCTCTAGAGAGAAACTAGGACCTAAATGTACACACGTTGATTCTATAAGAGTCAATCAGAATGTAATATCTGTTCTAATTTTATGTTAAAAGCATTGACCTGAACCCCTCCAAGGCCTCTGATTGGGAGATTGGAGGTTTTGAGAAGCATGAAACCACTTCTTAATTGCTGTTGTTTCCAGGTTCACCCTGATTCAGGGTGGTAACACCTGTTAAGAGTCTCGGCTATGGGTAAATAGTTAAACCCCACTCCCAAACAAAACACACACACAAAAAAAAAAAAAAAAAAAAAAAAAAAAAAAATACATTTTATAATAAAAATACCAGCAATACATTTTTGTATTAAATAACACAAAGGTTGATATGCTGCTAAACAAAACCAACCAACAATGGTCATATAGTGAATACAATGTTTCTAAATATATAGTCATTGTTCTGCAAGGGGATCCATTGCCGTTTCTTACAAACAGATTTTAATGGCACCAGCCACTTGTCTAGTTACTGAATCCTGGTCACAGTTTCCAACCCACATTTTCCTTTCCTTTTCCAAAACTCTTTTATCTATGCCACAGGAAAATTTGGGAGAGAAAAAAAAAAAAAAAAGACATTCTTGCAAAATATAATTTTTTTCAGCATCACTTGAATGACAAATATGCTTCCAGCAATGCCAGCAATTTATGTTTCATTGTTTTGTGTATATATACTCATGTGCCAAAAAGTCATGGGTGAGTAGTTTGTAAAGGTAGGTGGCACTAGCATATCCTGACATAATTTAAGTTAAATACATAAACCTATATCAGTTGTGCTTTTATATTTGGTGTCTGAGTGAACACTAGTTATACTGCTCATGGCAAGGTGAAAAGAATTATGATAGCAAGTTGCAGACAGATAAAACATTCTATTTCTGAAATTGTGATACTTGATTTCTCTTGATATATGTTATCATGCAAGTTACGTTTTGATGGTTTAATGGCATATCAACTCTTTATGGGTCATTTAATGCAGAAATTTTATTTCTTCTGAGCTTTGGTAATATCCCCCCCCCCCCAATAATATATTGTTAGTAATCTTTTTTTAAAAAAACTATGAAGATGTATTGCTGGTAATTTTTCTAATGTATTTTCATATTTTGACACCAGTTTGAAGTTTGCCATTTGTCTATAACTGGGAGGCTAACAGGTGCTAGCATTTATCAGATGTGGTGGAGAGGTCTATTTGCAGGTAAAGATCTTTCAACAATATCAGCAAGCTGTGGACAGTTATCGAGATATCATGGCTCAAAATCTCTTTAGATCTCACAACTGGTGCCATGTCAAATTGTTGCACTGTGCTGGCATGAGGGTGTTGAGTTTCATACACAATAATAAACAACTTTCCCATGATTTTGGCATGTCATTGTATTATAGTGTCTTGTGTATGTCTTTGCTGCATTGACTTATGTATTTTCTTGCACACTAATTCATTGTATGGTCTTTTGCATGCATTATGTTGTCCTAGATTTTCTTTCATTAGTTTCATAAATCTATAATGCCTTATATCATTATACGGGGATATTAAAATCCATTGACAGATTCCATGTATCTGTGGAATAAAAGGATATATTTTGGTTCCCAAAACCCAAAAGGTAAGAAAACAAATACGTTTAATCCAGCCTTCTCACCTTTCGACTGTACACGCATGTTGATCCTTGAATCAATAGGGCAGCTTCTGCAAAGTTCATCGTCCGACCTCCATCAAATGTGATGGCAACATTCTCCAGCTTAAAAAAAAAAAAATAAATACATTTATTACTGTTCAAAGCATGTGAGTAATATTCAACATTAAATGCATATTGCACTGACAATGATTAATGAGTAAAAATAAGGGTTTGTTGCAAAAAAGCAAAACAAAACAAAACACCAGCAACACAGTTTCATTAGCCTGTAGACTTGTACACATGTGAAGATGGGCAAAAAATTCTGGGAATGATCAGTTTTGTTGTTAAGCAAAAGTATAAACCTGAGTTACTTTTTTTGGTTAATGTTCACCCAATACAAGGCCCAAGAGCCGCTCAAGGTAGAGGGTTACTGTATGGAGTTGTATTAGCATAAGAAAGGGCAAGAAATGAAATTCTTGTGGATATGCAGGAAAGATAACAGCTAACACCAGACTTGAGGATTTAATTAGTGAATGAAACTATAAGTATGTATGTATATATAAATAAAAAGAAAGAACAGTAAGATATATAATCCGGTGTTCTTATTGATATTTTTTTATTTTTACAAAAAGGTGCTCAATTTAAATTCACAGAGCATAAATATTATAAATTAACCGATTTAAAATATGGTTTCTTCACTACACAGTAATAACCATGTTTCAAAAACTGAAGCGAAAAACTTCAAATTTAATTATTGTTATAGTGGAACACACCTATTCTATAGTTAATAGACTCTCCCACCTATAATAAGTAGTAGTAGTAAGAGTAAGGGGGGGTCACTCAGTCAGGTGATGCCGGATGACCGTTAGTCGGATACTAAAGTATCAGCAACCACAACTAGATTTCTCTGCGTCATTACCTATTATATTAAGTTCCTAACGTTTTGTACGTTGAACCTATTTTAGGACCAACTTAGTATAAATACAAGCCTCCACTGTGAAACCACTCCATAACGATTATATAATTATATTAAAAGTATTAGATCTGTTTCATGTTCAAGCGAATAGAGTTGAAGTAGATTTTAGAAGGAACCGGAAACCAGTTCTAAACAGGAAACAAGGGATAAACTTCTTTTTAAAAGTGTGGGAAAGTGTGTGAACCAGACGATAGGCAAACCTCTTTACTCCTATTTGGAAACAAAAAAAAAAAAAAAAAAAAAAATCATAAGAATTACTGAATAAAATTTCAGATGGAGATGTCAGAAATACAGAGTTGAAGGAACTGGAAAGCCAATCCTAAACAGGAAACAAGGTATAAACCTCTACTGTTTAAAAGAGTGGGGAAGAGCATGAACAGGACTATAGGCAAACCTATCTACTCCTGTGGGAGTAGATAGGTTGCTCTTTAATTACAATAAATTTAATAGTAGAATCAAACAAACCCTACAAAGATAAAGTTCGAACTCTGAGACTTTTGTCTTCATTTTGGTATGCTTTCTGTGCTTCTACTTTAAGCCTGTGCTTCAATTGTTGCCCGTGTTCCCTGATTCAGGATTTCCTTACTTTTTTAAACAAATTAGCAAAACAAATTTACTCCTAGCACTTTTTTTTTTTTTTTTTTTTTTTTTCACAAAAACAAATGGATACATTTCTATGGGATCTATAAAAAATTTTAAAACAAGCAAAAATTATTTTTGTGCAAAAAAAAAATTAAAATGTTGAAAATCCTGAATTGGGGACAAAGGACAACATCAGTAATATGCAGTCATTTATAACCTGAGCATAATTTCAAAAAAGTACAGATAACTTAAAAAAAGTCAAAGATTGATTAGACAGTAAATTTACATTATTAACAGGATCTCACTTCTATAAGATAAGAGAGAGAGATTTTTTTTTTAACCAAAATCTCAAACTTGTTAGAAAAGATCAAAAATTTACAAAATAATTAAAAATACTTTGGTCTTTCCTATTAAAAATAAACATTTTGATGATAAAACTTTGTTTTTATTAAGTTTGGAACCTTTTTTTCATCATGCTATGCTATTTTTTTTTTCAGCAAATGAGTGGAGATACCTACTGTATAGGATTGGACTTCCAGTACTTTATAAAGTCTACTTCAACTCTATTCTTTAAATGTTTCTGCCTAGACTCTGTAATTTTATTTGCTAATTCCCCCCCCCCTCAACAGGTGTGGATATGTTCGTCTCTTGTCCAGTTCACTCTTCTCCCAGTATTTTGAACAGAAGTAAAAGTTTATACCATGCTTCCTGTATGGATTGGATTTCCAGATCGTTCTAAAGTCTATTTCAACTCTATGCTTCTAATGTTTCCTCCTAGACTCTGTAATTTTATTTGCTAATCCCCCCCCACTCAACAGGAGTGAATAGGTTTGCTTATTGTCTGGTTCACACTCCTCCCTGCTTTTTTGAACACTAGTAGAAGTTCATCCCTTGTTTCCTGTTTAGGATTGGGTTTCTGGTTCTTTCTAAAATCTTCTCATTCTCTTTCGCTCCCAAAAGCTTCTTGAAGCCAAGTGGCATTATTACCTCCCTTGGGGTAAATTGAATAAGAGAAAGAAAAAAGAAAAAAAGGATTTTAATCAGTATAGTCTTTTACAGGGCTCAACCATATTTAATTAAGGACACCTCACAATTGAGTAACAGCAGGCAATTATTATTGTAGTAGGTTTGATCCTCACTAGGTGGTCTATACTTATGACTTTGCACCATATTGAGTTCAGCACTATTCACATATTAACCCAAAGAAAAGTGCCTGCCACAAAATGATCAATAACCTGATCTCAAAATCTAGTCACAACTGAACTCACCAGTATATGGCCTCTCCGGATAAGAAAATGACATCCCAGGTTGATTAGTTTCAAGTTTGTAAGCGATTTGGGATTGCAAAGGAAATGTTTGTCACAGATTATTTCCATGTCACAGAGAATAAATCACTAAGTTCAGACTCGAACATTGGGGACAGAAAGAAAATGCTGAAAACTGGATTCGCAAGTACTATTTCACAAATCACAATGCATGCAACCAGTCAGAAAAATAACTCACTCTCCAACAAACGTGGCAGCCAAAATAGCCGACTTTGAGAACACCAACTGCTTTTATCAGCTGAGCATTTTTTCAATTTGTCGACAGCTGGGAGAGGATGTACCGTATTTTGTAAATAAAAATACTTTTATGGCGACTCCTGAAACGGACTTGTTTTTTAATTCAAATATTTCATTTTCAGCATGTCATGCGGAATACGTGACCTTTTGCTTGGTAAGTAATTTTCTTTTTCGTCACTTTTTCCGTCGTAGAATACACTTGGTTTGACGAGGTAAGTCACCGTTTTCTTTGCTATAAAGTTTGTCATGAAAATCAAAAAGGATGGGTTATATATATATATATATATATATATATATATATATATAAAAAAAAAAAGAGGGGAGATAACAGATGAAGATTTTTTTTTTTTTTTTTTTACCTCTTCCAAATATTCTTCAAGATGGCTCGCAATGTCCACATCCCAATTCTTGGTAAGGTCTCGAATGGGCTTGAGTAGGAAATTGAAACGGCCATCATCTTCTAACACCATCTTCTGAAAACAAAACATTATATGAAAATCCCTGCCAATAATGTTTGCATTAATTCTTGATCAATGACAATTCCATATTTACAATATATGTGTATAGCAAAATCATTAGTAATGTATTTTCATTATGCTGAGAATATTACAGTTTTATCAGCGAGACTTCCATTTATATATGACCCATAACAAAACCCTTAATCAAACCCCCCCGACTAACATCGACAGAAGACTAGGAACCTATTGATATAAAGGGTCAAAACTTAAATAGAAGCTGGTTATAATGATAAGACTAAATATCAACAGTTCCAGAGTCCTGAAAAATTATCCCACATAATTTCATTTTCCAAGGTGAGACAAATGAAAAGTATGGCAAAGAAATGTTTATTTTACAATCTTTGTCAAATTGTTTTTATTTCAACCATTTAACCCTAAGAAATTCATCTAGATGCAAGGAGTTACTGAGCGTGAAAAAAAAATTCAAGTAAAAGAAAACATCATTAAGGCAAATGAGAGAGAACAATAAAAAAAGAATAAAAAAAAAAAAAAAAAAAAAAAACATACTAAGACAAGATATCAATTGACATTGCATTTAAATTTTTGAAGATCAAAAGGTGATTGGAAAGCAAGAAACCAGAAGAGAGTTCCACAAGTGCGAGAGAAGAAACTGTCAGCATAGAACTTACAGTTACATCTAAACATTTCAATTGTAAAATGATGAGACCTAGCTGCCAATCTAGTACTGTGCTTAAATTCGTAAAGTTGAGGTACCAAAAAAAAAGAAAGCTCATTAGAATAATTACCATGAAAATATTTATAGGGAAAAAAGGCAGAGGGAAGCTATATTACTATGGTGAGAAAGTGACAGCAGCTGAGATGCCAGGTCAGGACCAATAACATTGCAAATTCTTTGTATTTCATCAAGAATCTCTAAATATGTAGAAGTAGATAGATAGATACTGGCAAGAAAAATAAAAAATATTGCAGATTCTTCTTTGTCTTTTATCAAAAATTTCTAACTAAATACATAGAAGAACCAAACCAGATAGAACAGCAATATTTTGTCACTAGACCGGTACCTGTCCCTCCACTGACAAGATGAAATTTCAAATCTAAATTGTTTTCCCCATTTAAAATGGCACATTTATTAGAAAATATATATATAGTTTAAATGGCAGATTTATACCTCAAGCTGATGAGAATATTGTAAACACATGACCAGTGTTCTGAATGCACAATACAAACTCCTATAGTGGCAGGAAAGTTAACAAGTGCATTTTTATTTCTAATTCACCTTATCTGATGCCCCACTACTATTCCTCATGCCAAATTAAATTAATTTAGGAAAACAAGAGCAGTCCAAGTTGATATAAGGGCGAGGAAGCTAACCTCTTGTGCAGGAGTCAAGCAAACTATGACTATAGAATTTAAAAGGTTGTAGGGTTGGTGTATATTTTAGGCGGGGCATGTGTTCTTGTGTAAATAATTAAAAGGAGGATGATACAAAATCTTGGGTTTCTACAATGGACTATATATCTTAGAATAACAAATACCAATTGGTAGGGATAATTCTAAAGAGTACAATATAAGTAACAGGGCAATATAATAATAAGTAAAGACAATCCCTGAAAGTCCAAGGTTTTTTTGGGTTTTTTTCTAAAAAAAAAACAAAAACCACCTTCAGTCTGAAGAGATGAATATTTAAATATATTCATGAAATAAATTATAACTGAAATGGATTGTCTTTACTTAATAATATATATATATTAGCAAAAGTTATAATCTCATGGGTATGTCTAGTTTCTTTCTGGTTCAGAAGTTAGGGTAAGTAAAGATAAATATTGTTATAATGGTTGCACTCAAATCAGCCTTGTGCTAAGCTGGAACAACCTAAAAAAAACAAAACAAAACACTGGTCTTACTTCACCTTTGTAGTGTCAGCAAAGAGTATTATTTAAGTAAAGTTTCTAGACGAACAAAGGAGTAAGGAGAAACAGATGACAGCAGTTTGTGATGCTCGGGTTAAAAAAATTCCCTAACTCATTCACCAGTCTTCCTCACCAAGCTACATGACACTTACACTTTCCTCCTCAATTTCTCTCTTGGCTCTTCTTTCTTACACATACACATGCAGAAATTTCTTTTCATCTTAAACTATAACCAATGACTATAAGAACTTTAATATATGCTAAGAAGAATTTACTTATGAAAAAAAAAAAAAAAAAAGCTTTTTATATTTAAACACCTTTTTCTTTGTTGTGGGTAGATTCAAATCCACAACAAAAACCATTTATGATTTTTATATAAAAATTTCATAGCGAATTCCTGTTCTCAGCCAACTCACTTTCTACAAAGTCTTCTTAGGGTTTTAGATTGGGTTGTTGAATTTTGTCATAAACATTTTTTGATGCTATATCTACAGAGACATTAGCGACTTACCATAAATGACGATGTACTCATTACTGCTGAAAAATGCTCAGGAAAATGAAGATTTATTTGCCGTTTTTTTTTTTTTTTTTTAAAATGACATATCAGTTTGCAAACATTAAAATCACTATTTGATGATTGTATAAAAAAATTGTTAATGATTTTTAATACGTAACCAGTTCACTCCCTTTTTTTTTCCTAACCCTAACATATTTTATACTTCCAACAGTTGGTACAGTTTTTTGTTTTTTTTTAATCCTGTGACCTGTAGGCACATAGGGGCACCATGTGTACTGCAGCCGCAGTAGAAGGGGGTGTTTCTTGGGCCAGATAGCCTGACAGAGCCCACTTTCTCCAGGCTGGTTTTGAATTCACAGTTTTTCCTTCTCCTAGACCGGTTGCCACCCAAGGTTATAGAACCCAGTCTGTCTTGCTATTTACCCTGTAGGGTCGTAGGGGCACCATGTGTACTGCAGCTGCAGTAGAAGGGGTGTTTCTTGGGCAAGATAGCCTGACAGAGCCCAACCCTTTCCAGGCTGGTTTTGAATTCAGTTTTTCCTTCTCCCAGACCGGTTGCCACCCAAAGTTATAGAAACCAGTGTGTCTTGCTATTTATCCATAGCTGCGGAGGGGGGGGGGCGAAGAGGAAGAGGAGGATTCATACCTTTCCTAAAGTATATTAGCACGTAAATGAATGTAATGGATCCAACAGGAATTCGAATTCGGCTCTCAATCCATAGAAAATGGACGGTAGATAGCATTTTTTTTTTTTTTTGCATACCAAATTTAATTACCTTCCTTACGCTTCTCTTATATTTTTATTTACCTAACCTCATATTCTGATTCTTCTTTTAGAGTTGAAAAATAATAATGCATCAGAAATAAAAGTAAAACGGAAATTTAAAACTAAAAAAGTGTCTGAAATGCAATATATATTTTTAAAATTTTGAAATTTATTCTACATAAATAATCTTGGATTTACAAAGTGCGATATAAATATCTCCCATATAAGGCAACAGCTAGAGATGAAGAAGAGTAAGACACCATTACCACTAAAAATGTCTTACCATTTTGTGGGACGTATTTTTGACGCAACCTCTATTTTATGTTATTTTTTAAATTTTTTACTTATTATTTTTCAAATCCAAAGGAGGGTTTTTAGAGAAATCTGAAACTAGGTAAAGAAATCTAGGGAAATTCAGTGTTTTGTTTTGTCATACAAAGATTAAGTAAGATATTAAAAAAAAAAATCAACAAGGTCTTGACTTTGACTTAGAAGAGCGGAATGAATGTACATAAAAATATTTGTTTTTTTGCTTAATAAAAAAAGAAGACATTTTTTAGTTTTCTCTCTCAATGGCTACAGATTTCGGAAAAAGGGCAAGAAATATTCAAAATGTGTTGATTTTTTTATTTTTATTATTAATCGATTTTTTAAAAATTTTATGTTAGTAAAAATAACTGTATATTTTGAATTTCGAAACAATTTATTAATATAACTAAATCCGTTGTGAATATTTTTTTAAAAAAAATGTGGCAGTTTAAGTTTTAGAGGGAAAAATCGGCATGAGATTTCTGTCAACAACAATGCTTTTTCTTGTAATATTTATTTTATTATTATTATTATGTGTATATATATATATATGAGAAAGATAAATAACTTGCCAAATTTTTAGAAAATTAAATACAAAGAATTTTAACGAATACACAATGTAACAATAATGAAAAGCACTTTTAAAACAATTTATTCATTGTAAACATTCTCAAAAAAACACTTGAAACTCGACAATATAAATAAACGCCTAACCGTAATAAAATACAATTTATCAATAATGTTTAACAGCATTTAACCAATAATTCATACATCTTTACATGTCGAATATAAGGCAAAAATCTTGTTACAAAAAGACAAAAACATGCTTCCATTTATTTTCTTTTTCTTACCTTCCACCAGTAATTGCTTCCATTCAGTTTTTCGTACAATCGCGGTAACCTATAAATTTGAAAAACGTTGTAAAAACGCTGCTGATTGACTGACAACGTCAACAGCGTAGGTTTACTTGATATTCTGACCAATCAGAGAAGACCTGACATCCATATTTTTCTTCATCGTTACCGCAGAAAAAAACTTCCTGTCGAAGTTTCATATTTTCTTTTAATTTTATTTTCAATTAATTCCGCTTTTTTATTTTTTTTATAAAAATAATTTATTAAAATAAATATTATGAAGATGATTAAAGAAAAATAATAATGTTATAATTTTTTTGTTGCTTGTTTCAATCACCTCCAAAAAAATTCACTTCTTTGCGTTTAGTGTACCCTCCCTGTGTACCGTAGTTTGTTATTGTTGATTTTTTTTTGAAGGTACCTAGAAACTGCAATTTAAAAATGAAAAATCTTTCTTGAAGCTTTTCTTTTCTAATAGATTAAATTTAATATTTCCAATAAGCTAATTACTTTGCTGTCTTTCAAACCAAAATAAACTTTGGGGAAATTATATTTTTAATCACAAAAATTGGTCGTATTGACAAATCTGTCAACACAAAATAATTCTCTTTATTAAAAAAAAAATCTTTAAAAAATGAAATATACTTTTCTGAAATTTTATTTGAGGAAGATTAACTGATTTAAAGTTTAATTAATCTGAATTAAAACAAATATTACTTTTAGTTTTATTTTGAATATTACAGAAAACCATTTTTCTAAAATGGAGGTGGGTGTTTTTATGAGGTGTTGACAGATTTATTGATCGCTTAATGTCTGGCAAATTAGAGTAAAAGGTTACATAACTGTAAAAATTACTTTTAACTACCTAGTAATCTTAAAAATTTAGAAAAATATTTTGAATAATCTAATATTTTCTTGAATTTTAGGTACCTTGGCTTTATGGTCTTACTTACAAAGACACTTATTAAGGAAATGTTGGAAATTATCAAATATATTTTAACTTTACTATAGTTACAGCTCTTGTTTTCTGATTATAGCAGTTGCTATTGTCGGAGTTAGCTCCTCCTTAGCTCCTTAACTCTTTCACCCGGGGTCTCTCTTCCCTGTCTATAAATACTCGCTGACCCTTCGCCTCTTCTTCTTTTCCTCAGGCTTCGGCCTTGTACCACCTCGCAGATGTGAACGCTCACAGATACAGCGTTTCCCAAATGCTGGGAACACGCTAAGAACAAAACACATACGTACGAACACTCACCACACACACACACATATATAATATTCACCACACACACTCTGTCCATGTAACTGTCCATGTAACTTGTAACCTTTCTTGTTATTAATACATATATTTGTTTACATATATTTATCGGTCTTGTGTTTGTTTTTCTTTGGACTTAATTAAAGTCCAACTTTCTCATGTAGTTGGACTGGCTAGCAGGAAAATTTTGACCCACATGTATTCTTCTACTGAACAACATTGCCGACACGGTCCTCTACACTATCTTTTTCACACCCACATACACTCCAAGTCATTTTATTCGCCTGCGATTGGCTAATAAATTACTACTACCTTTGTATAGGACAATTTAGCCATTGCAGTCATTCCTTTGAATCTTTTGGTTCTGAGCATACTTACCTATTCTGTTTAGTACATGTGTAGTGATTGGTTAATTTTTAACCAATCACATATTTTTAATATAAGATCCTACCTTTTTTCCTTAAATTGGGTGACTTTTTGCAAGTCGCTAGTAAGATTCAGTAAGATCCCAACCATCAACATAAATCTTGCTCAACACGCACACAAACACAGAATTTTGTAACTACAAACTTACATTTTCTCTCTGTAACTTTCGCCAAGGACAGTTTACCAGAACTTTATTGATTTAAACCAGTTTATTCACAACACATACCAAGCAATTGTATTTCTTCGTATTATTCATTCTTCACACGCAAACTTTGCTCTAATAATTATTTCGGAACATTTATCTCTCAAGATAACTTTCTTTAAACGGTTGATTACAAATCATTCTACAGTCAAAGGGAAAGAACTTCCTTCTCTTTAATCTACATTGTGAATACAAAATTATTTCATGCTTGTTGTTGTATTTTATTCAATATATATTTGTTAGTTAACAAATTGGAGTTGTTGTTATTATTACTTGAATCCTGTATGTGGAAGTATCATTAATATAAATAGTAGTAGTACCTATATATTTGGTACCCTGCTACATGATAATATCATGTATGGTTGTCTATATTTACAAAAATTGGCACGTTTATTTGTACATAAAAAATTTGAAAATTCTTTTTAAATTATTGGGGTGGGGTCATTGAATTGTAACAAGCTCATCTATTTATAATTAGTAAATACAGTTTTTACCTAACAATATCACATAATTAAACATAATTTTAGAAGATTTAAAACTTTATAAAGTATTATAATTAAAATTTAAAAAATGAAAACAATTCTTGCAAAAATTCATTATCCATCAAATAATTTTTTTCTCAAGAAAATAGTGTCCATAATATAACTTGTAGAATAATCCATGTTACCTTTTCACCTCTTTGCAGAACAGTCCATTCTTACACCCACACACCTGTTATCCAATCAAAATACTAGTTCTGACAAACTCAATTCTCATTGGCTAATAGCCTTAAAAAAAACTAAGTATGCATGTGAAAAATGCCTTTGGCGCTCAAATGTGTTTGAGCCTATTTTTCCTTTCCAGAACCTATAAAAGAAAGAAATTCGAACCAACTTACCAGTTAGAATTCCACACTCAGAGAGATGCCAACCAATTTCACGCCAGTTTAAACTTTGACTTTCCTGCACAAATTAACCTCTGACTCAACAACCTTTTGGCATACTCAATCTCTCTTTTAAACAAACTTCTCAAAAATTCATTTACTTTACTTGAGAAAGTGAAATATATATTCACTACATATTAGTAACAGTAACAAACAAAACTTTTAACAATTAACAGTTCAAGGTACGCAACTTCATACAACTTAAGAATATTTTATATAACACTCGTATACACACACTAACATTTGAACTGTAAAATCGAACACTTATGTATGTTGAACAGCAAACTGTTTAATTCTTACAACAAATCATCAAAACACTGATTTAAGCATTCAAACATACTCAACAACAAACTACACGTCTTATTACATCAATATACAACAAACCACCAATTCATAATTCATTTGTATATATTTAAATTGTATATAAATTACCGTATTGTTGTGTATTTTACTTAGCTTTGTTTTTTAACTCTGCTTTGCATGACTTGTTCTAAATATTCATTTATTATTTGCTGTGGATGAATGTTAACGAACACGCCACCTAAAAATTCCTTCTGATTTAACCAAATACATTCACTAATCCCCAACAATCTTATTCATAAAAGGAATTAACACCTTTTTTAATTAAATAATAATAAAAAAAGAAAAAGAAGGTTTTTGGTATTTCAGATTCTGGAATCTGAACAAAAACCAAAAACAAAGAAAAACTAAAAGCTGCCTAAAAAAGAGAGAAGATGAAAGATATTCATCTACTATTTGCAAAAAAAGAATGGAGAAGGATAAAAAGAAGAATGGGGATTAAGGTAACAGAAGATGTCGATTGAAATTACAATTTAAATTTTTGAAGATTATAGCTATCAGTGAAGCAAGTAAGAGGAAGGGAGTTCCACTGATGGGAAGTGTGAGAGAAGCATCTGTTGGAGTAGAAGGGGCAGTTACATTAACTGTTTCAACAGTAAATGTCTTTCTTGAAGTGGCCTATATATATATATATATATATATATATACTAGCTTAAAAGCCACTTTATTGGACAGCATTTAAGCTAGTTCCTGCAGAGGGCTCTTGATTGGGCCTTCATCACAATAAGCAGGGAGGGCTAGATATGATAGGTAACAATAAACTACAGAAGAACTCAAAATTGATCACTGCATTTAAGTATTGCATTAATATTTAAGTTTTCCTTTTTAAAGTGCAACGATAATTCTTCTGTTGCCACTTAAAAGAAAATAGGTATTTTACAATTAATTTCAATTATTCCCAAATTTATTTCTAAGTTATAAAAATTGTTATAGTACAAAAAAATTTGTCACAAAAAAAAATCATGTAAAAATTGCAGTAATAAAAAGTTGGGAATCCCAAATTTTAGGATTACATGTCTGGATCAGGTCCAGAACATTTTTAATTTGCTCATGAAATTGGCCTGATTCCAAACTGATATGATATGTTGGGCTATGGTCTCTCGGAGTAAAGATGAAAACATAGGCAATTTTATTTTGAGAACAGTAATTTTTTCATTTGAACATAAGCTATTGAAAATTAGAAAGTTGTGTCCCTTTAATTGTTTTTATCAGTAGAAGCCAAGATAGCAGAATCCAAAAACAACCGCAGCAATGAAAGCTTGGAAATCCCAAATTTCAGATTTGTGGTCTGGACCTGGGCCGGAATGTTTTAATTTGCTCACAGAGTTGGCCTGATTCCAAGATGGTATGCTTTTTTGGGTTACAGCTTTGAAAAGTAAAGATGGAAAAGTGTGACACAGTAACGCACTGATATTCACATTTATCAGATATATATATATATATATATATATATATATAGCACAAAATAGGTGCTGGTTGATACCCAGTGTATGATAATAGAGCAAACTTTATATTTATACATACTAGTAAATATACATTCTGTTCCTTCCTGTTTGGTACAACTCTGAGTTTCATGCATGAGGCAAGCATCGGGCCTGATGATTGCATGTGTATAAAACTCAGAGTTGTACCAAATGGTGAGGAAAAAAATATATATATCAGTGGTGACTCTGGTGGCTAGGCATGGTTTGAGTGAGTCAAAATTCAAGTATATCTATTTCAAAGCAACAAAAATTTTTCATAGTGCGTTATTTTCATTCTTGACTTCAGATGGATCCAAAATTAATTATTTTAACACTGTGCCTTTGTTGATATTGTTCATAATAAAGAAAGAAGAAAGAAGGAAGAAAGAAAAATAGCAAAGAAAGAAAGTAAGTAAAAAAAGAGTGAAATAAAATTAATATGGCTAGTCAGGCTGTGTAGATCTGAGCCCTATCAACACATTTTTATTTCAACTTATTGTTTCTAAATGTCCATTTTAAATAAATTATTCCATACAGTATAGTGGTTTTTAGCAGAATGTATCTTTTGA